AAAATAAATAATAAATTAATAACACTAAATTAGATGTTTTTCTGATTTGTTATAGGTAATTATTATTGTCATTTATTATTAAAATTTTGAAAAATATTGGCAATATTTTCTTTTATTTGCTGTTTACTGACATTGCAATGATGGCATTATCTTATATGACACCATGCAACTAGATTTTATTAACGTTTATTATTTTTTTTAACTTTGATAGATTTTTTTAACAATAATTTTTAGTAAAAGTAGAATATTGCACATGTCTGTACCAAGTAAATACCTTCCAAATTACGAAGGAAAAAATATAGGTTCTCATTTAAAATTAGAAAGTTAAATATACTATGACATTTACAAAAACCATTTAATTTTTTTCTTGAAATCGGGCTATAAATAAAAATTCTAGAACGCCTGTAATTTTTTTTAAGTCACCAGTATATACATATTAGTAAAAAATGTAATACGGGGTGTGAACTCGCGCCCCAGAGAAAAATAAAATAAGATACCAGGAACATGGTAAAAATGTTTATGTTTATCTATAAAAATTTCGAAGTTATGAGAGTTTAAATTTTGCACTTTGACTCTATTTATTTCTGTTGGAAAAATAATTTTCCAAGTTTTGTTGCTATAGGCTATTAAATGAAGAAACAAGAAAGTTTTTTCCTAAATTGTAACTCTGTTCAATGTTATTTGTGGCTTTTATTGGCAAAATTTTTGTCCCTTTACTAATAATTGTAAAAAAACATATACAAGATCATCAGTATCATTAAATAGATATAAAAAAAATGTCAAATGTCAAAAAATAATAATAATAATAGAATTTTGAATTTTTTAAACATTTTTTTCATGTCCTGGTATCTTACCTTACTTGAAAATTTTCTCTGGGGCGCGAGTTCTGGCGCACCCTGTATAGTTAGAAAATGTATCAAACCCCCGAAACTGCACAAAGTCAATGGAAAAGTATTGATTCGTGTGTCAATCGGCGATTAATGCCAATTAACGCGCTCGCGACATAAGGCGCATTTTCGTGGCAGCCTTGTTAGTAATCACAGCCATTCCGTGCCTTGTTAGAAAACATTTTCCAGTCGTAACGCATCGACTTACTTGACATTCGGCAAAACCGGAACGGTATCGTCATATTCGGGACTTGAAGGGTATAAAAAAGGAGAGGATTTGTCCCAGGATAGGAAAAAGGTCGGTTTTGTTCTGAAAGGCAAACACTTGACAACATTAAATTCTCATTTGCTGACTTGGCTTGCATCACTCACTTCGTTTGTTTCTCTCCTTCCGATTCGGTTGTATCGGAATAATCAGTGGGGAGGTGAGAAGCTGAAGTAGTTGGGCGACGATCCGCCGGCTTATTGACGACGCTGTCGTCGTCTTGTGGGGGCCTCTCTTCGACCACCATGGCTTCTAAAGGGTTGTCAACAGCGCTGCTGCACTCTTGCTAAACACAAAATAAACTCAAGTCGGGGACAAACATAAATGTTGATTACCTCAGAGAAAGATTCGATAGATAAGCGTGCCGATAGTTTATCTTCTTCGGTGCCGGGGGCTACGTAGTCCTCATCATCGCTGGTTAAACCCAACTCTTCACCATACCACTGGTGCACCTGTAAGAAAAAACCACTTGTAAAAATTGCGTATGCACTTCGTGTGCCCCATGTACCCATTGCCACATTTCTTGCGGTGACATAGGTTGGTCCATGAGCGCATTTTGCCATACTCGAAACAGCATCAAATACGTCTTGTCTCGTGATACAAAACTGGTGAAAAAGTATTTTTCCGTCCTTGTGCAAATCAAAACCGCGTTGGGGATTACAATAGCTGTTTTTTCTTTCGTTATAGCCGATACGTCCTTCCATTTTAACGTAAGTGTGGTCTCCCATCCCAAAATATTTGCGTAAAAACAGAGATAATTTTGGGTGACATAAAGTCTACCTTGTGCCAATATTTCTTTTTGCAAAGCGCAGGAATAATCTGGAAATAAAGACAATATTTACCTTGATTATGTAACTTCGACGTTGACAAGTTTACTGATAAGTTTTCTTATCAATTTGCTCAATCCGCTGCCCCCGCGAATGTGATAAGCGGGCTTGGTGGTTGCATTCATGCTCGGATTATGATAAGAAAACTGGTTTTTGGTAAGGGAACTTTTCAATTAGTTTCACCGTTTATTAATCCATTAATTACCGCAATAAAGATTAAATAAGTCAATATTAACACTCACCAACTAACAAACGCTCATCGTCAGGTACATCCTTAAAAATTCTTTTAAAATCCTCTGATCGTGATTTGTAGGTTGGGTAAAATGGATTGAACCAAGACGACTTTTTCTTACCACGTGGGTCTTTACGTTCTTTATTTGAGCTACTAGTACTTTCGACTTTCAAGATTGAAGGAGGGCTAATGTCCAAATTACTGGCACGACTACTCACTGAACTTTCCTGACTCTGAAAAAACGTTCACAAAATATTTCAAACCCAAACAATTCTCACCATCTTTTCAATAACTACAACTAGAATTATCTATTTACATACAATATAAGGTTGCAGATATTTTATCAGCATAGCAAGTAGACATTACAATTGAAATTTTGGACTTACAGAAGGGGAGCCATCGTGTTTATTACTTCCCGGGATTTCTTTATAATTCACAGTGAGATGTATCTCACTTTTGGGATGTTCCCTTTTGGTTTGGGGCCTCGGGGAGGGTCTGGGACTAGCCCGAGGGCTAGTATTGGGACTCACTTGTCTGCCCAAAACAAAATCTCAATTAATACCCTTGTTTAGGTTTTTGAACGTCGAAAATTACTTGTTTTCGGTTGGTGTGCTTAACTTTTCGTTCGTTGTATTATTTGTCGACGATAAAGTCATCTTCATTGTGAGAAAGAGGTTCTCTTCTTGTGGCCCCTCATGAAGCTGTTTTTGGTTGAAATCAAACGGAAACTGGTAGAGTCGTCACTGTTATCACATTTCATGAATTACTGCTTGGTTATCTTTGCTTTGTATTGTTTCTTTACGTGTTAATGGCTAGTTCACGGTTGATTGAAGCTAATAAAACACTTTTTTGGTAGTTTTAAATGCAGACACTCACTAGAGATTAAAGAAAATCACTGGCACTTCGGCCAATAGATCTGTCGACGACCACCACTCCATTCCAAAAATGAATGGTAGAAAAATTAAGAAAGAACTTGCTCAAATACAAACGTAATGCAAAGTGGCTACTAGCAGAGGCGAAAAAGTAGGGCGTAAAGGGGGGTTTAGAATGGTGGAAATGACAAGCGCTGTCATTTCGAGTATCAGTTGGCATTTCGATTATAATTTAGCAATTACAAAATTTAGTATACACTACACGTATCCGAAAACTGGGAACATAATAAATAGATAATACAATAATAACAAACTGCTGAGACGGAAACTATGTTGGATGGCTGTGCAAGACATGGTTGTGGATACATTTTTATGTATTATTAATAATCTTTGGATTAATTTATGAAACTTTCGACATTTTAAAATTTCGTGGTGAAGTTGCACAACTGGATGTATACAGAAACGGAAACAGCAACCTCAACTGCCAACAAAAAACGGGAGACTATTTCAATTTTTATTATTTTTATTAGGACATATTAATTTAAATTGTTAAAATTTATTTATTAAAAAAATATATTTTATCAGTCGTCACTTTTCTGAGACTTTAATGTAATTCAAGCTTTAACGTTAAAATGAATGACAGTTTCAAACTAATGACATATTTTCCTATCAAAAATATGTACATATTTTTTTTTTATACAACTTGTCAACTATCAGCTAAAAATAAGGTTAACAGTCCTAAAGCGTGCTTTACAATTTAATGTCACTCAAGTGACATTAACGACCAAAGTATTTTGTCTCCAACTGTATGTACCTTATACTCAGTTTTGTTAAGAGTTCTGAATTTACGGTGACAAATGTTAAAAAATCTAGAGAATTTGTTTTCAGATTACGCACAATGACTAATTTCCAGTTTGAGTTGAATTTTCCTACGCCTTCATGAATAATATTACAACGTCTCACCAACCGACGCAAAATTTCCTAAATTTATTTTTTTTTCTTTTAAACCAGCATAAAATTCACAAAATAGAAAAAATAGTACGAAACACTTGTTACAGAAGCCCATTAAAGCAATCATTTGTTCCTCAACTCGCTGCTACGCGGCTGGTATTGAAATTTTAATCTCTTCCTTGATTGAATGTCTTTTTAAGTGATAACAAAATCCCAGAAAAAGCCATAAAAAGCGCAAAAATTTTTCCTTTTTTAATTTTATAAATTTCGATTAGAGTATATCCAAAATGAATAATGTTTTAAACCATGCGTATGTAAAATGTTCAAGGGAGTCGATTGACGTCGAGAAAATTGCAAAGTACTTGATAGTTTATATGTTATTGTCGAATTAATAGATATTTTTGCGATTTTTGTCTTTACCAGCAATAACCATTTATCGCAGAACTATGATGTTTTTTATAAGGCAGGAAGTTAAAAGTCCTTTCAAACGATACCAAACATAAGATAGTTATTGAGAATAATTTAAAGTTATTCGCTAATACTCGCTCCGGGTTCCAAAATCGCCGAAAATTGTAACAAAAATAGAAAAAATTAAAAACTTTAAAATTCAACTTAATAAGTACACTTCGTTATAAAAGAAAAGTTGTAAAAGACAGAAATGTGTATAAAATGAACTTTTTGTCGGGAAAATGCTTGAAATATGGTATTTTAGATGTAAAATTAACGCTGATCCCATTGCAACAGGTTAAAATGCTCTATGATGAGTAGTTTTTGAGATATATTAAGTAATAAAGTCAAGAATATAAGCGTAGTCACTAAAGTCGCGGGCAATTCATAGTGGCCACTTCTCTGTGTAAATTTGTAAAAATTGAGTTGTGTAAATCCGATTTTAAAAATCCAATTGTATTTTTAGGGACATATCTATCAAAAATGACAATTCTAGGGCTAGGGGCTCCCAACTTTGCAATAAATTAAATGGTCACTATGAATTGACCGCGACTTTAAATACAGGCTGCGCCAGAACTCGCGCCCCAGAGAAAAATGTCAAGTGCCGGCGGCAATGGGTCGCCACAAAGTGCAGCCGAAGAAGTAACTTTTGTTTGCATAAGAAAGTTATTAGACCCTTAATTCCGCCAATCCCAGAAGGGCACCTCAGGGTGGGATCGAAAAATTATATTTGTTGCTGGGTTACAAAAATAATACCAATTTGCCTAGAATCTTCAATAAATAGTTGGTCTACTGTAATTTTCAAATCTGTCATGTGTTGACATAACACGCTATTTTGGAATATTTTTCTCCCCGAAGAGGTTTTACACGAGTGTAATGGTTTGAATTTGTGTTAGATGTCAATTGTGTGGTTTAAGTTAATAAGTTTTAACCATGTAATTAGCCGCTGATAATTTGGAGATAATAACCATTTTTGGAAGTGTTGGCGTAACGCTAGGGAGGCAGCTAGGATATTTTCCGAACGTTTTCCTGACAGAAATCGCCCATGCTATAAGGTCACATCGAGGGCCATTGCCAGGGTGCAAGAGCGGTCAAGTCCTACCAGACCGAAAAGAAATTAGAGGTGTTCCCAGAACGGCGCGCATAGTTGAAAATGAAGAAGCTTTTCTTGATTTTTTAAGATGGCACTAAGTAGATACATCAGAGAAGTTGTAGTCATTATAACTGACATACTCGTATTAGGGCAGAGGAAATTTCAAATGCTTTGTTTCCGGGGGCATTTCAGTCATGATTTCCAGTAAATTTGTGGACTGACTGAGAATATTCCTTTTTTCCGGGAGCATTTCAGCAATGATTTTCAGTAAATTTGTGGACTGTTGAGGAATATCAACTAATTTCAATATCAATATTGCAATATTTTTGTGGATTGTTTAATGAAAAAGAAAGCAAGGGGTCTTAGTGCAATGTGTGTTTTTAGGTTACCCATTGCCGCCGGCATTTGACATTTTTCTCTAGGGCGCGAGTCCTGGCGCACCCTGTATATTCGATAGTGTCCAAAAAATCATTTTTTTTTAAATTATATCAAAAACTGATCCAATATGTAAAATTACTTGTAGAATTCGCCTGTATAAACAGTTTTGAAACTCAATTTTCAAAAATTGATTTAAGATTTCCAAATTTGAAGTTTTGAATAGTATTGTCTGCCAGTGACTGTTAAACGCACAGCCGTCAATGTCACGTTACTGAAAGTTATTGGAGTAACTGGAGACCATTTAAAAATTAAATTCAGTCAGTATTGCCAACAGACTCAGTCATTCTGAATCACTTTGTATTACTAAACTTCAAATTTATCAAATTTTTACCAATTTCTCAAACATAAAACCATTTGAAGAATGGCAGTAAGGATTTTATTTATTTTTAAAATAGATTGTTTCGTAAATGGACAAATTCAGTGAAAAAATGACCTCAGATTGATCACATTTTTCTATAGTCAAATACCGGTTGCGTTTGGCGCCTCTGGGAGCAACGTTTTTAGCACTGGTTGTAGCGTTCGCGTTGTAAATTACCCTTTAGCATCAATGCTCGGTTGCCATGTTATTGCGGAGAAGCGAGACAGAATAAGCTTTTTCATTGGTTGAAATGCGACACACACATGGAGAAATGACCGACAAGCGACAACAGAGCGGCAAGAGCTAAACCTACGGCACGGCGATAGCGACGCCATAAGTATCCCGAAAGTTTGTGCTTAATTTCGTCGAAAACAATGCGTACAAGTGAGTAAAACCGGAATTACGATTCCATCTTCAACTTTTTGAGCCTTCTGGGGCCTCCTTCGGCCCCCCTCGCCCGTTTATTACGCCTACCGAGATTTTTCCATCCACCATCTACCCCCAAGCTGGTCGGTCAAACCGTAAACAATCAGAGCGTTTTTCGTTTTTGAAGCAGTGAAATGGTTGTGTGTTGACGTTTATTTCATCGGTGATAAGGGAAATCAGACTGTGAGTGCTGGTTTTAGAGTTATGCCGGTTGGAAATCAAAACGGCTTTGATATCGATGTCAATTGTTTTTTCGGACTTCGGAAGCCACAGCAACGCACACTTGATCCAAACGAAAAATTTGCGACAGACGATTGTTTTGAAACGCCTGGGGGCTAGAATTTTCAAGGACTTTTACGGTGCCAAGAGTGATATACAGGGTGGACAATTTATAGAACGTCACATGTGAAAACAAGGTTTTCATTGGTTTCGTTTTTCTGGAACTAATCTAGATACTTTCGATTTTAATTGTTTGATAAAGTTGGCTTTACAAATTTTTTATACTGGTGATGTCAGAAATTACATAAATCTAATTGATTTTATCAATTTGTTGTTAATTACTATTATGATTACGCAAATTAATGTTTATTTTTATCGCATTCCACAATTTTAAATATTTTTTTGGCCAGTCAATAACATAAACAATGTAACAAGAAGCGGGAATTTTAAAATTTAGTTGTTGTTCTACTTTTGTTCGTTTCAATCCCAGCTAAGTCAGGTGAAAACCACAATCTTGTACACATTAAATTTCTTTTTGGAGCTGTTTCAAAATTCTTTTCTTTTCAGATTTGTGGATGTTGAATTTGTGAAAAGATGAATTCAGCATTGAAGCCAGTTTTAACGTCTTCAGCGCCACAAAATCCTCCTGTGACGACTCAATTAAACAAACCGATGCATCCTCAAGGAACCCCAACAAATTATGGGCAACCGTCAACTCATATGCCTCAAAGTTTAGTTAATTTGCCCCATAATAACCCAACAGTCGCCCATTCACACCCCAATCCTGCACATCAGAGTAATCACTATTCGTTAAATGTGCCCAACGCACCACATTACTCCAGTAATAACCCATCGTCGATACCTGCCAGCAACCACCCAGTACCTAACGTCAGTCAAGGGCAAGGAGGACAAACCTATTCACCCAACAAAAATGTACCATTTTCGGGAGGATACCAACCAAATCTCGGACATCCGCCCAATGTAAGCACGCCACTGGCGGAATTTGGTCGCTCAGTTGAAATTCAACCCTGCTATGTCCATGATACGTGACATTTTTTGAACAAAAAACAATTCTTAAACCATAAAATTTATATTTTTGGCTTGTTTTGCATTATTTTGTCGGTTGTTTGTTTTTATGGTGTTATGTTAATATTTTAGTAATGTACTTATATCGAAGAAGCGGCACATTGCTTTATAATTTTTTTTAATGATGCTAGCAAAATCTGATGCCTCCGGTGAGCCAGACCCTACCCGCCACACAGCCCCATCACTCCCCCGCGGCCACTGACGACAAGCCTCAATCGAACGGCACTGCCGAAGTGAAATCACCGACAAAACCGGAGCCTCAAGAAAACCACGTGTCTTTGCCCCGAGATAAATCGCCGATGCCTCCAAGTTCTCCTAAAATGACCGAAAAATCTGAAGAAAAATCCTCTCCGACGGCCTTACCTGAACAGAAACAACCTCAGGAATCTAAATCGGTGGAAGAAGCTAAAACGTCCCCCGAACCCGCCGAGAGCCCCAAAAGTGCGCCGCCCGCAAGTGAAACTGACCCGAAACTCGAAGTAACGGAACCTCCCGAGGCGAAGGCGAGTGAACCTCAAGAAACTAAAGAAAACATCACAGAGGAGGCGACGCAAAACTCGCCCCCGAAAACAAACAAAGAAGTAATTTCTCAATAGAGTGTTTGTTTTGTTTTGATTGGTTGTTGTAGCAAAAGTCCAAAACCACGCCGAAGACGGCGAGGAAATCGAGAACACCCAAACCCGAAGGGGATTCACCCAAAACGGCGAAAGCTGAGAAAACTCAGCAAAAATCGCCCACGGTTGCTAAAAGCAAAAGGACGCGTACCAAAACGCAACCTTATCAGAGTCCATTACCTGAAATCGAAATTATCACAAAAATTACTTCGTCGACTCCCAGGAATAAAGCAAATGACGACAAATTGATTGTTTTCTATAAGTTAGTTGGAAATTATTGCGTTACGATTTTATCCTCAATGTTTTTTTTTTTCAGAAACGAATTTTTGGCTGTAAGAAACTCAGAGGGTAGTTTTTATATTTGTCAAGCTGCGCAAAATATTTATAAAAGCTCACCAAAAATACGAATTCGTTGGCTTTCGCAAGACAAGAGCGAAAAGTCCGGCGAGGTGTACACACCGGATTTTTACGATAATACAGGTGATTTTACAATGTTATTTAACCAAATCTGTGTTGACAATTTTTTTTCTAGATTTTGATTGTATATTAACAAACCTAAATTTGGTACGTGTAGATAAGGGTCGTTACAGATTGCCTCCCGCCGAAAAAGAACGAACCGACAGTATTTTAAAACGATCTCTAGCTGTCGAAAAAGGCGAAGTGACCTCACCTTCACTCACAGAAGAACATCCAGATGGCAGTAAGTGTTCAAAAACCACCCTCAAACCGCCTAACTTCTCCCTTTTTCACAATAGTAGATGTGTCGCTCTACAAGGAAGAGAGCCAGTTGAAAAAACGGAAATCAACTAAACGCAAGGCCTCCTCAGTTCTCCGTTCAAAGTCCTCCAGTAGCACGACGAAATCACCCGACCAGCCGAAAGTCCGCAAAGTGGCCAAACCGGCAAAAAAAGCCGCCAAGAAGGCGGCCCCTGTTCCCGCCAAACCCAAGCCGAAACCTGAAGAGAAAAAACCCATTCCTTCGTCGAGTCGAACTGACCGAGCGAAACGACGAAGTGACAACCAGAATCACAATAAAGTCAGTCCAGTGGTCGACCAGAAAAAGGCGAAAGTATTGGCCAAAGTGGCCAGGAAAGGGGCCCCCAAAACGGGCAAAAGTATGGCATTTCAAGTTCTGTTGCGTATTTTGTGATTATTTTTTTATTTCTAGTTACGAAAGCGGCGAAAGCCAAGAAGGCAGCCCCCAAGGTCGGCGCAAAGAAAACAAAGCGAGCGAAGAAATAAATTCACATCGAACTTATCACATTTTCACTGAGAGTTGTGATGTGTGAGTTGTGATGAAGAGGAATTGCGTCCAATACATATTTCTGACAAATCAAACTGATACGTACCGAGGGACAAAAACGAAGAAAATGCAGTTTAAGCCTTAATTTTTATTTATTTACGGAATGTGTGTTTGGATGACATTCTTCGTATGTTGCAATGTTGATAGTTCTATTATCTATTGGCCATCTTCAGTAACGGAATAGTTTATTTATTTTTGTGTCACCTTTTGGTCTCTTTTTAAGTTGCTGATTTTTTACTAAGATTTTAGTATTGTGTTTATAACAATTATTTAAGGGCATATTTTCTTCAAGTGCATTATTTAAGTTTTTCTCAATTTATTATGAAGTCTAAATAGCACTAGTATTACTTATATTTTGTATCGGTACTCATTTGTACATTTAAAGCTCTACTTAGATGTAAAGTCATGTGAGCATATAATATAGATTTAATCTATGAATAAAAATTGTTTCAATGATACTTAGGTGACCGTTGATGAGTATATGTAAATATACAATGACCAATATAATTATATATTTCTTTATAATAAACAAAAGCACAGGCAATTTTTCATTTTAAGTTATTTAGGATTTAGTATGTGTTGTGCTTAAACAAATTAATTATTAAGGAAAATGTGGAATGGATGTTGATGTAGTCATGGTCAAAGTTCGATTGAAGGTTAAATTTTTCTCAAATAATTTATAAATGGAAATTATTGAATAAATCTTTAAAATAACAAAAATTTTTCTTCTGAAAAAATTGAAACGTTAGTAGGATTGATTTTTTTTCAAACAATTAAGACAGGTATCAGTAAGTGTGTAAAGTATATAAACACTAAACAAAATACTTTTTTTTACTAAGTTAACCAATTTATATTTTAGAAAACTTAACCCTATTCTCAGGCTCCACTAAAGCAAACACCAAAGAAATGGCGTTGCAAGCTTTTAGTCGTTATTGTTCCAATTTTGTAATCGGTGAAATACTGAAATAAAAATATGTTATTTAAACAACAAGGAATCATCATATCAATGGATCGACGGATAAAAGTAAAAAACGTAGATGGAAATAAAGATATACCGTTAAACACATGTTTAAAAGTTTGAAGGACTTTCATCCTTTGGATGTTGTTGCAATACGAAACACGGAGTCCTATGGAAATACATTGTGTGAGTATAATTCGTTTTTTGATCTGGGAATATCCAAAGGGCATTGTAGGACATGAAAGGAGCGGCAGACAAAAAATTAATCAATTTTTTATGCCTCCTGTTTCTTTTCGAGAAGGTAAATTTCTTTTTAATTTTCGTTAAATTCAAAGGTGTAAAAAATACATTTTTGAGCTTAATATATTTGAGAAATTACTTTTTTTCAAACGATTAATAAATATGTATTAATCTTCCCAATAACAAAAAAAATCGGAAATGAAAACAACAAAAATGCCAGAACTTCGTCTTTATTTGGTCCACAAGAATTGAGACAGATCTGCCCTACACATTAATACATAAGACATTGTTGATTGTATACATTTGCCCTTTCTAAATATAACTTTTGTAAAAATAAAATATCTCGTAAAAATACTCTTTTTATTAAAGTTATTTTGGCAAATTATAAATTACGGTTAGGTACCGATCATAAGAAAACGTGTGCAATTGCAGTACTACATAATAAATTGCGTGGATTATAGGCGTTTGAGTATTGGTGTTGTAACACTTATTTTTCCTACTACAAAAAAAAAACTCGTTCACGGAAGTTGAAAATCTTTTTGCGGCGCGTCCTCGGGACTGGGGCTGTCGTCGCGTCGAGACCTGACTCGCACAACTTGTCGGTGATTATTATCATCCCCGGGACTGTAAGCTGCGCCCCCATACTGCAGCCCCATCCCAGCCCCGGCCAGTCTGACTTTCTCCATGTTGGTCTCATCGTGGCTTGTAAACAACAACCCCAAGTTGAGTTGCGGTATGTCATAGAAAACTGCCAAGGTTAACATCATGAAAGTTATCCCCATGAAAAGATAACCTGAAAAAATCGGTTCGAATCTCGGCTAATTCGATTCAACTCGGGGGATCACCTGTTGTCATGATTTTGTACAACGGCCGGTACGGTTGATCAGGGGAATCACCCGGGATGTAATCACCCAATCCAATCGTTGTGAGTGAAATGAAGCAGTAGTACAATGAGTCCAGATAGTCCCATTCTGGTTCTATGCTGGCGAAAACGGCTGCAGGAGCTATCAGGAACAGCACGATGAGTATTAACACTGCAAAACCTTTTGTAAATTTGAAAGTAAAAAAAATATAGTGTGGTTACCGATGATAATCAAGTGCAAAAGACGGATATTGAAAGGTTGGTACAAGTGTCCGAGTCGAGAGTTAAGCCATTGGAGTAACCAAATCGTCGGCACCAAAAGGCGTTCCACCAAAGCCGACAAAAGGACGAGCGTTAGGGGAATCCCCACCATGGCGTACAACATACAAAAGATTTTGCCGGTTCGGCTTAATGGCGTCACGTGACCATATCCTTAAATGTTTATTTAATATTTTTTTTAATAAAAAATTCCTTCCTACCTATTGTTGTCACTACTGTACTAGAAAAAAATAATGATTGTCCGAAACTCCAATTTGGCTCCCCTGACGCATTTCTCGACGCCGAAACGCCTCTATTGCTAGCTTTCACTACTTCAGTAATTAAATCTTCCAGAGCTTGATCTAGAAACAAGTTAAAAAAAATTTTAAAATACTTAAATATGTATTTATAACTAGAGTTTTGTGAAGATCTATTACTTATTTCATATACCTGTCACCCACAGGCGAGTCAAATTTTTGAGATAGACGTTGCCAATAACTATAGTTTCTGTGTATACAGGGTGTTTTTAATAAAAAATAATAAGATATTGCAAAAAATTGCACCCACATTCTTCATTGAAAAGTAACATTAATAAAAAAATTAAAAACAAATAAAAATAAATTATTGCCGGAAAATAACGGCTCAAGCCTATAAAAATTTATGAAAAGTGATTTCGGAAGAACTAATGGATTTTCATTTTTATCATGAAGCTTTATAACCCAGTATGATCGTAGCAAAGTTTTATAGGACTATCATTTATTTATTAAATTAGTGTTATTTTTCAATGTAGAATATGTATTGGACTTTTTTGTAATATTAAGAAAACACCTATATGTATAAATATATTTCGTTTAGTTATTGATAGCGTATTGCGGAACCATCATACACAAATGACAACTGTTTTTAATGTGTTAAGAATTTTTTTCTAATTAAGTACTGCATTATAATATTTTCAAAAAATAAAAAATGTCATTTTTAGAGTGTTCATTTCGGTTACCAAAAAATCATGTTTTTTTTCCGCAAAGGCTTTGTACAAACGAATTGTAACTTAAAAAAAAAACATTTCGGAAGTATTTATTTATCAATCTTCCTTTTTGAAACAAATAAATTGCCCATAAAACTTCATCGCAAAGTCAGGCAACCGGTAATACATACTCAAAACTTAATTAAATAATAAATTGTTAATTACATAGTGCAACTGTCATAAGCATGTAAATAATAATATCATCAATAATGTTAAAGTAAATTAATTAAACTTGTAATATTATTAATATTTCATTCAAAAACCGATAATCAGAAAATTAATAATGAATTTGAATTTCGATTATATCAATTTTCTATTTCTACTTGACAATTATGTTGTTAACATGCAAGAAAAATTTAAAATTAATAAAATAAAAACTGGGTACACATTTTTAATACGTGGATTGGACAAAAACCGGTAATCTTTTCAGTAAAATAAGTTCTAAATAAATAGAAAAGTTTCATAGTTCTGCAACCTGTAAATAGTCTTGCAAATAAATATTAAGTGATCATCTTATCTAAAGACGTGACTGTCAGACGATTAGATAGAAAGGTTTCACCCTCTGATATACTAAAGTTTATATCTGGAAGAGGGAACACAGTCGAGTTGGTAAAACTTTCCTAACTTTAAAAAAAAAAAGTGAAATTACTCGACTTTTACAACTTCCGTTTCGTTATCAAATCAAAAGTCATTCATCCAAGATTAACCTCATTTCTTGCTCTCAGACTAAAAAACGCTTATCACCGATAAAAGCACATGCAGACTTTTGTTTATATTTGCGCGACAGACCTGTAACCGTCGGATTTTCGCTGCGAAATTTCAGCACAACCCCATCAAGTCTAGCCCTGGCCGCCCTCTCTGAGGGCGTTTCGAGCACACTAAACACCGCAGCACCGCTGAACAAAAACATCACATAAATGATCAAATAAATGGAAAAGAAAAACGAAGTTCTGCACATTCCCATTAATCTAGTTCCTTTATACTGTCTGGAAATTTTCCGGGGGATGAGAGGAATGTTTTCCTCTTTGCCCCGTAATACTGATTCGTAAGTTCCGTAATTCCTGAACTCCATTTTTCACCGAGATTTTCACCTAGTGCTATAAACTATCACTAAATTGGCGCACAAACAAGAAGTTCGCGCTGCACACACGAAAAGTCCGGTCTTCCATTTCGAAAATTTGGGGAAAAACAGGCACTGAACACGATGATTCTGTACCAAGCGAGGCCGAGGTGTTTACTAAAGAGGGGCTAGAGACAGTCGGTTTTATACTTCTTATCGCTTCGAGGAGTTTAGATAGAGTCACGTGGACAGGTTTGAAAGTTCTCTTGTAAAAGTGCATTGAAGACACTGATTAGAAACTTTTTTTGAGTTGTTTTGGTTAAGTCATGCAACAGAATCTTAATTGCCTTAAAATGATTTTTATAAGAAAGGTCAGTTATCTGTCTAGTGGAAAGACACAACTTCAACCAATAGGATATTTAAGTTAAACCACTCTTATCATAAATTTCTCTGTAATTTGTTTTTGTAGAAATCTCCTACTGACACTCAAATCTTATTTTTATTTACGAGAGACTCACATAATAGAAAAATCTTCCACTGCTTTTTTATTTTCAGAACACAAAAGTAAAGAATTACGGATAAGCTATCAGTGTGTGTAAAGCTCAGACAGAACCTAAGTACACATTTTTCATCTTTCACACGAAAACCTATAATTTATTGAACGAAGTTTCACCACAGTTTGATCGAACAATATTATTTTAGCCCAAAAAAACCGATCAAAAATGTCGCAGCTGTGTTTTGATAACCTTTCCATCAAAATATATTGATTTTAGCAAAATCTTATCACAACTCATTTCGTAACATTCGACTGAGACGTGCCGGAAGCTCAAAGAACATGTTACATTTACATGTTACGAATAAAATCATTTTTGACAAATCCAAACTTTGATGTTTGGATATTTGCCCAAATCTAGAAAAACCAAATCGACAAGTCCAGATCCAGAAATAATTATTAAAAATAAGTCCTAAAAAATAAATATTCCTTTTTTCAAATGGTTGTTGTTGTTGATATTGTTATTATTACCATTATTTTTGTAAATTTTTCTGTCCACAGTGAAAATAAGGAAACACGAAGCAGAAAACATTCTGGATAATGAAAAAAAAATCTATAAAGCACTTACTTGTGCAGTGTATTTTTTACTAGATTGGAAACAGTTTTATATAATAAAAATAACATTTTTGGCTGTGTCATAAAACGTTATTATAGTCAATTATATTTTTTTTTAATTTTATTTGAATATTTTTTTAGAGACAAAGAAAAGAATTTTTTGTTATTATGAAATTCTGATGGCGAATCCAAATTAAAAAACAAGCTATTTTGAGAGATTATACAAAGTGTCAGAACTCGCGTCCCAGAGAAAAATTTCAAGTAAGATAACAGGAAGATGGGAAAAATATTTAAAAAATTCTATCTGTCAAAAAATTTTGCCATTTATCTTTTGACATTTGACTTTTTTTTTATGTCTATTTAGTGAAGGTACAAAAATTTTGCCAATAAAAGCCACTAATAACATTAGACAGAGTTACAATTGTTTCCTCTTTTAATAACCTGTAGCAAAAAATTTAGAAAATTATTTTTCCAACAAAAATACATAAGAGTCAAAGTGCAAAATTTAAACTCTTATAACTTCAAAATATTTACAGATAGAATTTTTTTAACATTTTTTCCATGTATGCACCTGGTAATCTATAACCTTACAAGACATTTTTTCTCTGGGGCGCGAGTTCTGGTGCACCCTGTATAATTGCACAAAAGTTGACTTCTCTTATCCTCTTATTCTCTTAATAATTTATTTTACATCGCACCTAATAAAAATATCTCGAAAAATATATAAACTAAGATTAACCTTTTGGGGGTCGGGAAATAATAAGTCATTATATCCCTTGGTCGAGAATGTCAAAAACGTAATTTGTTAACCATATTCAATTCAAAATCGAGCTTTTTCCTTTTTTATACACAGTAAAATACAGTAATAATCTTGGTAGTGCTTTGACACTTTTTTGAGAATTAACTGTAGACGAAATGTCTTATTTTTATATGAAATAAGGCAAAAAAGAAAAATTATCACACAAAAATTGTAAGACTGCGTAGTTCATAAAATATTTGCAACCTTTCTGTTATCCTTTAATTTAAAAAAACTTCCAATCGATTAGAAAAACCCATCCTTTCGGTTAAATTAAACCTGTGACGTCAGTCTCTCGATGTCGAGACGTGGCGGAAATTCAAATTAGATCCTCAAGTGGCAACTTAATAACCAATTTCCTTCAAAATTTCATTTATTTGGAATCGTTACAACAAGGACTCAGCATTTTAATCTCCCCATCAATCCTCTGTTTAGCCCGAAAAACTTTCGATTGGAGATAAAACGAGCCTCCGTTGCTTTTCCCATTCACTTCAAAAAGAAATTTGAATCGTTTCTCCACCAACACCGGATCGACTTTTTCCACATTCAAGATCTGCATCGCTTCGGCCAAAGTCATGTCTTTTTTTGAAAATTCTTGGTCTGGAGAGTGTTGATAACGAATTTTTGCGGCTTGTTGACTCAGTTCAATTTCTTCAACGATGGATTTGACAAGAGCCTTGTAGGCGATGCGTGCCCCCTGGTAGATCACCCGAAAGATTGACTCGGACATGTCATTTTTGAATCGGTTGTCAAAACTGTGTCAAAATAGCATCGTTGCGCCATTTATCACGTGTTTAGTCATAGGTCAAACAAAAATTACTGAACATAGTAACAAAATTTGTTTATCGAAAGGTCGATGGAACATCGGCGTGATAGCGATACGATGACCCTAACTAAATAAATTCGAAAGAAACGAGAAAAGTTCTAGTCCGAATCTAGACTTTTCAAGAGATACTCCAAATGCAAAAAAGCTCAAGTGTGAGAGCTTTACTTCGTTTCGTTGCATTTTTCATGAGTTTGGAGAGTGAAGAGTTTTTTCAAATTAACGTTTTAATTTATTTAAACCCATACTGACCTCTCGTGTTTGCCAATACTTTGTTATGGGTCGTCGCTTATGTTGATTATTTATCAACAGTTCACGTTCTGGAATTGACTGTCTTTTTCCACTCTTCTGGTAAATAGGAGAAAAATGGGAAAAATTAATTAAATTCGTTTCAGTTTGTCACACTTGTTTACGATTCAATCAATTTTTCTTTGTTCGACTCTTTCATCATTGTTAACTTTAACAAGGTGGAAAGTTGGATAACTCAGCGAGGGAGTTGGTTTTGACAAGCTGGAGAATAAACTCGACTCACAAGATATTTTCATTTTAATTAAATGTAACAAAACTTTACTAAATGATGACAATAACAATATCGATTGTGAATTTTAAATAAAAATCGTTTGACATTTCAGACCCAATCGAGAGGATTAAAACGATCGCCCACACTAATTATAAAGCTTTTCCAGATATAAAAGTAACAAAAAATTGAACCCTGATTAAGTATGCTGATTTTTTGCAAAATTTAATTGGTTATCAAAGTTGGACGATTTTTTGTTACCTGGTTGGTATTGCAGGTCAATGAACGTGTTTTTTTGTGATTTTAATCATTACATAATTATTTACGTTTATTTAAATGTTTTTTCTACTACAAAGTTGCAAAAGAATGTTTGTGAGTACTGTAATCAATAAGTGTCATATTTCACTGTGTTCAATGTTTGTAAGGTTTACAAGCTTGCTGTCAATTTTCCACTGGCACTTAACTTAACTTAATAATTTTTTCAATGAAATAAAAAAAATAACACTAAAACCTACTTTGTAGTTTATTTTATCGAAAGTAATATCTTTTAGAGTTGAATCAATCCAAGACATAAAGCGATAAAATAAAAGACAACTAACATTTGTCAAGTTATAAATTAATAAACTACACTGTTAGAAAGGTAGAAAATTAGATTTTTTTACTTATTCTTCCTTGATATTTTTCCGTAATTTTATTACATTTTAAGTAATTTGATTTTCCCTTTTTCCCATTAATGAAATTATATAAAAAGCGGTTATAATATACTATACACACAAAACCTTTTTTTAAAGGGTTTTTTAAGGGTTTTAATGAAACCAGCCTTGAATAGTAGCTTTCAAAGCGTATGAAGCAACAGGCATTTTGCACGGAAGTAATTACATGTAATAACATCGTTCGTAACGAAGCGAAGTAATCTTTATTATCTTCCTCTTTGGTCTTTTCAACAATATCAAGATTAATTATTAAACTGCAAAATAGCCCTTATAGGTATTCTACTTAAATCCATGTTTAACCTTTAATTGCGTCTCGTTCAAGGGCTCTGACCAAAATCAATTCAATTAACCCTTGAATAGAGCTCAACCCTTGTCACCCTCTCTTTAAATAAATCTATTGCACGAGAAAAGAAACTAATGGCATTTCCCTTATCAGTTACTTACCAGTGACGGTCGGATAATTTTTGAGAAAATCAGATCGGAGTTTTCTCAAATGGTGAACTTTTTCCAATTCTTCAGGACTTTCAATTGATGAGAAAATCGTCGCTCCGAGAACTAAGAAAATAATGTATCCTCCGAGAAAAAGAACAAGCCGGAGGAGCCCTCGAGTCGTTAGGGCCATTTTCTCTGCGAAAATATTTTTATCAAATAACGTTATCAAAGTCGCTTCGAGCACTTATCCCATGTATAAAAAACAATACATATTTAGGTCAATTCCGCGATTAAAATCGTGTGCCACGCGTTTGCCCCGAGTGTAATTTAATAACGGAAAAAAATAATCGATTTTAGCCACAGAACTTAACAAATAAATTATTCAAATAGCGATAATCCTTCTAAAAGCCGGCAAAAATTGTTTTTTTTTTTTGGATAGACGCATCGGACATAAATCTCACCTTTTTCTCTACATACTGCAAGAAGAATTGCTGGCTATTTATTGACCTTATTAAGGGTTGGAAAATTGACGAGAAGATGAGTGAAATTATTGCAAATTTCACCCTCGAATGGGCCGAAGCCTCGTTTTCAACTGGGCATGATGTATTAACCTGTGGATGTGACGCACGACGCAACCAGACATACTTTGTTACCACGCGCTTGCCTACATCGGATAACCAGGGCCGGACTCCAGCCTGAAATGCCCCGAATCGGCCCTGTTTCGTCACACATGCGATAACTCAAGAAAGGGCGCTATATTATAAGCTTGAGAAAGTGTAGTCAGACAATAAAAAATTTGCCGTGATTGGGTTTTTATGTCAATTTTTTCTTTTTTTTGGAAAATCTAGGAATTTCACCAAAAAAATTAAAATCAGGATTTACACTAAAAGATTTAAGTTTTCACACTTTTCTCGTTCTATATTTTAATAAAATATTTAAATAAAAGATTTAAGCCAAAATAAAAAACTCTTTAATGCAATAAAACATTACCAACTTCTAAATAGTAAATTTACCAAGCACATAAAGTAAGGAATTCGAATTTGTCAATAATTATAGAATTGTTGAACCTGACTGTAAGTATATTTCACAGCTTTAACCTTATTTTAATTTTTTATTTACAAAAAAACGTTAACTATCGTGGATCGGTCTAAAATCCAACAGTTTTCCAAATCATATGATATTAATAAGTTTGTTTTCATTATCTGCGTTAAATTATTTTATTGTCATGGCTACTCTATTTTGGTAAACAACTCTGTGTATAATTTAATATTTTGCGACTTACGCCAAGTAGATTTATTAAAACAGAAAACTGAAGGTTTTTGTTACAAATTTGATTCTTTTATAATGACAAAGTTCATACACTGGTGGACACGGAATTTTGGATGATTCGTCATTCGACGGACATAAAAATCTAAAACGGGCCTTAGGCAACTAACCTCACTTTCGGTTTTTGTTGTTTTTATCCTGCTAGTTAGAGAAAAAACTTATATAAAAACATGTATTGCTGACATTATTGTTTCGGAAAATCGACATCAAAAATAAATTTCAACAAAAACTTTCAAATTTTAGTTTTTAAACATCAATCATAATGACAATAAAGCGTGGCTTACATTGACATTTTTTGAACTGACATAAATTTGATATCCAAAATTCCGTGTCCGCCACTGTATTACAAACTTCGTTACTTGGCTTTGTTTCGTGAGCCTAGAAGAGTATTTTTGGTGGATGCGCTGGGTTAATTCTACACACAAAAAGATTTTTTAGCAAAAAATAAATGTAAACATTTGAAAACATCGATTTTATTCATTCACAACACACTTAGGTACGTGTGCACTTCAAAAAAAAACACAATATAATAATCAAATATACTGAGACAGGAAAATAAATTAAAGTTAATAAAGTTGGTATCACCGATTATAGTTTGGTACTTTACACAATTAAGTCATTTAATTAGACCGTACATTTTCTGTTTTATCATAATAAAAATAAATATCATGCAACTTTTTGCGTTAATTAAAATAAATGAATAAAAATTGAAAGTAATTAGCAAGAATCTTCCCTCGGATACCCCAACACGTGTCAAATTATCACACTTGTCTCAATCAATACAAGGGGTGGCGTCGCGACGCATGCGTTTCCTTTTCAAATCAATACCCCAGTCCGCTGTACACCCCTATCCCAATAGGGTGTCTCCATATTACCAAAAATAACAACAGACAAACAGGTGAGTCCCATTTACCCTATCACTTGTTTACCCAAAATATTTTCCTTTCGACGATAAACGTTATCGAGTCCTACTTGAATTGGTGTCAGGTTCAAAACCGCTTCTAGAAAGTTCATCTCATTTCAGATGGGCTGTTTGGGAGAGTGTTGGGACGTAGGCCCACCCCCGGACAGTATTCTAAGTCTACCGCCGCCCCCAATTCCGGCTTTTTTGCAACACCCCTTACCAGATTTGTTGCTAAATACGACGCCGTGTTCGTCACAACAGTTATGCGAGTCTTTGCCCTCCTCGAACAAGATCCCGGATGGAGGAGATTACGTGGAGATGTCGAGGAAAGGTAACGCAGGTTTTTGACCCGAGTGTAGGTGCGGACACGTAAATCACGTTTGCAAGCGTGTCAATGAACTCACAAAGATCAAAGATCACAAGTAAACAATTTTACCAAAAATATATTTTTTGATAATTTTTGATAGGATAGGCAACCAGTTATACACTTACAACCCTTGTCTATTTTTTCCTTTTATTTCTTAATTGATTTTAATTTACGAAAATTGCTATTTGGTCAATGACAAACTCTAAAGGTCAAAGAACACGAAATTGGCCAAACATTTTTTCTGTTTATTCCTCCTGTGATTTTTTTCTTTTGTAGATATTGAGTCATGGTCGGTGACCGCCATCGACGACACCTGGCTTTTAGTCCTGGTGGCTTCCTCCATCGGGGTGCTCTTGTTGGGGGCCCTCCTGGCCATGTTCCTCCTCAAATGCCGAGAGTAAGTCATTGTATTTGAAAACTTAATTTCCGACCCCGGATTTGTTTCTTTTCCAGAATGAACATGTTTGATGGTAATGAATGTTCGCTCCATTCGCGCGACCACCGCCAGATCAAAAACCATGAACCCCGTGAATGCACCTCTGTTACCAACCTGAACGGCAACAAACTCGTTCACCCCTCTGAAGCCGTGATGTTTCACGGGGGTAGCGTGCCCGACAACCGCATGGTATGGGCAGCCCTCACCCCCCATGGCACCCAACACTTCATCTCCGAAAACTACCCTCGGGATTTGATCGATTATGGGGACGTTGACGATCATTACGAAACCGTGGACAATCTAAATATCGAGCCGGTGCTTTCTCAGCCGCCTTACTACAAAGGTTTGGGTATGGTCCGGGAGAAATCCAGTTTTGATAATTCCGGATTCGTAGATTACGACTACGAGGAACCGACGCCTCTCATTGAAAGTTACCAATTGGATGATATGGATAGGGATGAGCAGTACCAAGTGGTGGGAAATACGGATATGAGGTGTGCGAGCTTGGGGTTTGGGGGGAATACGCTCAGAAGAGGGGTGCCGGTGAGGCCGAGGGTCTCCTCGCCGACTCGCATCGAACACCCAAATCTGCCCCCGCTTAATCTGTACCCCCACAAAGGGGGCACTTTGAAGAGGAATACGCTGAGTTATCGGAATGTTGATACTGGTACTTTGCCCAAATTTGGGTGCTAAGTGGGTGCATTGTGGCTATTTATTCGGCAATTTGTATATTGTTTACATGTAATTTCGGTATTCTCGATGTTTTTAATTGATTGCTATTTATTTCAATAAAGTATTTGTTAATGGAACATTTTTATACTCCTAATTTCTTTTCCTCTGATGGTGAACTAGATTATATTTGGCCCAAATAAGCTCTCCATAATAACTTTATTTAATCAAAAGCTAAAAATTTAGGACATTCCTCTCATTTTTATATCTCAAAACAAATGTTTGCCGTAATAATCTTGAATTCGGTGGTCAGATGATATGTCAGTAACAATAAACTACTACAGTAAAAAAATAATTAAATAAAATTAATTATTTTCCAATTATTATACCAGCATCATGAGTTCAACAATATTTTCAACATATTTAGGTCATATAATGATGATTTTGATTTTTACAACTAAAGAGATAAGATAAAAATATATTTAATTTGTTGCATATTATGTCAGCCTGAACGAACATCTTTACCAATAGTGTTCAAGGTTTCTTTGGCACATTTTAAATAGATGATTTTAGAGATCGATAAAGATTGAAAAAAATAATTTATTAACCTCATTAATAAATTAATTTTTAATAAATAGTTAACGTTTATTATTTAATAACGTTAATGTTTGACGCTACCAATTTTTACAAAAATTACTATTGGTCTAATGTAGTTAATCAGTGACTCATTTTAATACTCCAATAATAGCAGAATAGGCCACAAAATAGCATTGTTTTTTTCAATCCATATTTTTTGGTAGTCAAGTGAATACTTATAAAAAGGAAATAATTAAAATAAATGGTAAAAGACATTATTAAGAATCTAGATATCAGTTTATGGATTTTAGTGTACTTCTATTGAAAATTAATCCTTAAAAACTCTCACATTTTCTTTAACGTTAATTTAAAACCGCCATCAAAAAACAAAATTGTATTCATAACAATATTAATCAGTGAAATTATTTAATAGTCAAACACTACCTACCTTATTAAACTTAAACTGTTTTTTTTTTTAAATAACTGGTGTTTTTTTTTGGCGTCAAAGCTATTCATGAAGGTTTGATTGTGAACGAACCATCGTATTAAAAGATATTAACTTATTAATATGACATTTAACACCTCGCCGGGCATATTAAAAATTGTGGTCTATATCACCGTGAAAAAACAGGTTATACGTAAACATTAACAATTGTCAACACACTTTAGCCGAAATTTACAAAATAAGAAAAAGTTTTTATTTATTTCTAAAGTTTTTATTGTACATTTTATGATACGTTTATTTTATTTCGTTTTACTTACCTTTTATTTACTTATATCCATTTTACTAGTACACTTTTGTACACATTTTAAAGCTCTCGTGAGTGGTGCTCTTATCTTTTACATTTGTATTATTAGTTAGTTTTATTAATAATAATTAATAAAAAATATATATCCCTTTATTTTTATTACAAAACTTACATTTTCTTTATATGTATTTCTTTTAACTTACCTTTTGTTTCCTTTTACAATTGTATTTTACTACACTATTAACACTTTTGTAGATACATGTAATTAATAAACTTCGCGCTCATGTACGCCCGCCATCTTTTAATGCTAATTTAAATTAGTATTATGCGCTTTTCCTTACTGCGCATTGTTTACTTATTTGTTTTATGCTCTGTCTCTTTCTTGTTATGATTTTTTGAGTTCTTATTTGCTCCCTCTCTCTTGTCATATTTTTTAAAGTTCTCGCTCTTATACGCCCGCCACTTTCATTGCTAATTTGAATTACTACTTGAATTTGAATTACTGAAAAATTGCTGACTTGAACGGGGTTCGAACCCCGGACCTACCTGCCGGGAAACGGGACCTTATGCTGTCACACTACCACGCCACCAACAATCTCAAAGTTTTTAATTCAATATATTCTTCTTCATACACTTACCTAAATATCCAGAATATTAATTCTAAACGATCAAGAATTTTAGTTTTCTTGACGCCAATCGATGTCTCGGAACATTTTACATAGGTATGTTATGCATAAAAACATTATAACATAAAAAAATTAAGGTAAAGTTTTGCCGCAATTTATAAAATAGTTATTAATTAATATTATTTAATATTTAATATTAATATTAATTAATTAAAAAACTACAAAGTGAATCTTCTGCAGTTATGACATCTAAAATAATTGAATACAAAATTCCAATGTTTAATTTGGTTTATTTTTAAAAATACAAAATAATTTTGCCTGATTTTGTTGCACCAATCAAATAACGAAATTAGATACCTGGGCTAATGATAAGAAAAAAAAAAAATAAAACATAATATCGTCGTTTAAAAACCAGTTCAAGAACCGAGCCTGAAATCGCAGAATAAATTCTGGCATTGTAGTAGGTAAACGCCCTAGTTATTAAAAATTGGCCCACTTCCGGGCATCTCCTGGTAGTAAAAATAGTGGTGGGTGTACCCCACGTAATATCAGGTGGGATCCTCCTCCACCTCCATCGCCTCTCTTTATCAACTCCAGGAGCGCAAGCGCCGGCTTTATTCACTCTCTACACTAGGTCAGAGCTTTAACCGCACTCAGTCGATGTCGTCCACGTGAAAGCCGGCAATGTGTCAAGTGCCTCGACAATGGTAGAAGACTCCGGAACCACTCTCCTGGAACACAAGCAAAAGCCGATCCTCAACGGAAGCATCCCCCGCAAAGAGCACGGAGAGCCTCCGGATGGGGGCACCAAGGCATGGCTGGTTATGCTCGGCTCGTTCTTCTGCAACGGGATTCTCTTCGGGGTGATCAACTCCTACGGGGTCCTCTATACGGAGTTCCACGAGATCTTCAAGAAGAAGGGGTCACTTAACCCGTCCGGCGAGGCAGGTAATAAGGCAGAAATAGACGAGGAAGAAGTTTATTTTTAGAAACGGCATTTCGGGCCATAATAGTGCACGTGCTGGAGGCATTGCTAATTTAATTCAAAAAATCTATTTTTATTTTTATTGCCATTCCGGAGAAACAATGCTGGATTAACTATGCAGACGGTCTGAATATTTGGCTATTTTTACAGTCGTCCAAGACATTTGATTTTGCAATTTAGCCGTTGTAGTTGTCACAGGAAGTACTTTCGTTTTATCGCATTTATTTGCAAACGTGTTATTTGATAACACATTGAAGTGATAGAAAAATGCGCTACTAAAGCGGAAGTCTCAACCTTAGCAATTGTAATACATAGATTACGGGTCAAGGCCATTTCGTTTTTTCATAATTTAAATCTTGGGATTATTTATCACAAACAGGTAACACACTGTACAATTTTACAATGTTATGATCAAATTATTTTTTTGCACATGTTTGAAAAAAGTGGCGGGCGACAGATGGTTGTGAGGAATTTGCTTATACAAATAAATATGTGAACATTTCTTACAAGTTTGCAGATTCTAAAAATTATTTAAAAAATTGAAATTCATTTAAGAATTTTTTTTCAGTACTGAAAATCTATTTTTTATGATTAGTTTTTTTCAAGATCAAGAAAAATGGTAAATAATTATTATTTTTGTTTAGTAGAAATTAAAAAAAAGTTAATATTTAAACACCACAACTTAATTTAGTGGGATTTGTGACAATGGTCTATAAAACCTTTTTTCTATTTCACTGTCACAATGAGCATTTTGTGCAACGGTTTTCAATTACACAAATAGTATATTAAATAACAATTTCATGAGACCAGGCTTGAAGCACGAATCCAAGTTTAAAAAAGAAGTGGCGTGGCTACGATTGAGTGCCTGCTTTATAGTCTTATGAAACGAGTTTTTTTTTGTACTATTTTTTCTGATTTGTCTTCTTTATGCCGTTTTTAAACGAAAATTTTTACTTTATTCGATTTAGGGATTGTTGTGAGGTTTAATAATATGTTAATTTTAAAAGTCAAAATTTGATCTAGTCGCCTTTTGACTATTAAGACATCGCATATGATGACGTCGCGTTATTTAATATGTTATTAGAGAATCAAAATGGAGCCAAGTTACAAAAAATGCTCTTTGTTATACTGTTTTTAGAAACATTTTATGCAATTTTTTTTTGGACATCACTGAGTGTGCATACTGTCGTTTTTAAGTGAGAAATTGTTATGTCACCGAAACTAATGCAATTTGAGCTATTTTCAGCCGATTTGAGTATTGCGTACGTCAAATGTCATCAATTTTAACTGTCAAATATAGAATTCAATTTAAAAAGCGCTCAATAGAAAAAATAGTATAAATAACGCGTGTTACAACTTCTCATTATGTCGCTCGTCTCACAATGAGTGTGTTTGCAACACTTATTGTTTTTTGGTATACCTACTATTTTTTAGCAGACTAATTTACAGTTTTTATCAATACTATTGTTAAAAATGGTTTCAAATTAATATGGCCAGTCAGAAACAACTCTTCTAAAAACTTTGGTACCAACTTTTTCAAAAAATTGGAGTAATGTGTCTAAGTGTGGATTTTTGTCGATAATACAATTGCGGACCCGAAACATTTTGGACGATTTGTCATTCGAAAAACATAAAAATGTAAAACGGGCCTTATGCAACTAACCTTAGTTTCGGTTTTTGTAATTTTTATTCTAACAGCTAGAGAAAAAAATGACAACAAATCAAAATAAGTTATTGAACTTATATAAAAACACCTGTTGCTGGCATTATTGTTTTGGAAAATCGACGCCAAAAATAAATTTCAAGTAAAACTTTTAAATTTTTGTTTCAAACGTCAATTATGACAATAAAGGCTAGCCTATATTGACATTTTTGAACTGATATAAATTTGTTGCCCAAAATTCCGCGTCCGCAATTGTATGACTTTTAAATAACATGAAAAAAAACAATTTCCCGTTTTCATTTTCAAAACAAAAGTAATCAATTAAAAAAAAACTAATCCATCGTGTGACAACTTTTCTTAATTTGAGAGTTTTGAATAAGTCTGCGTTTCATAACTTTTTTAATTAAATTTTTAAAATGTTGATTTCTACGGAGTTGCCAACCTTGGCCAAAACTCGATTCTAATTTACAAATCTATTTAAAAATTTGCTAGTGATTTGTTAGTGGTCTGAGATAAATCGGAAATTTTTAATCGTACCATTGCAAACAATATTTTGTTACATTTTATTGACCGTATATGGCGATAATAATTGACCCTTCCATTTTTGGATTAGGATAATAATAACAAATATTACGTTAGCTTAGAAACAGCAGCTGTTAGTTGATTGATAACACTATCGGAAAAATAGTGGACGATGACCAGACCACAGCAGAGTGTTTGTTTATGTTAACAAAAGCTCATAATAATCGATATGATAAATTGCTAATCTCTCAGAAGCACTACACCGCTCTGAAATTTGATATTTCCGAGGAAAACTTAGAGTTTTCCGGTCATGCGAGATTGTTGGTCTAGTTAAAAAATGATTTTTAATGATTTTTATTTCTTTCAGCACTGGTGGGGTCCCTCGCCATGGGCACGACGTTCCTAATCTCGGCCGTCGCCGGCGTTTTAACCGACTTCATCGGCCTTCGAAGAACCACTTTTTTGGGGGGTTTCATAGCCTCTAGTGGCATGTTCCTATCGTCGTTTTGTGTAGATAATAAATTAGCCCTTTACGTGACTTTCGGCGTAATGTACGGCCTGGGGGGTGCCTTAGCATACACTCCCTCATTAGCAGTCCTCGGCCACTACTTCAAGAAATACCTTGGCATAGTCAACGGGATTGTAACTGCGGGCAGTTCAATCTTCACCATTGCCATGCCATACGTTATAACCGAGTGTCTCAAACGGTTTAAAATCGAACACACATTGCGAATTTTAGCCCTAATTGCAAGCCTCATCATGGTTTTCGCATTTCTCTTCAAACCGGTGAGAGAAACCGAACGCAGGGAAATCAAGTGGAGGAACACGTTCAATGTTGAGGTTTTCCGCAATAAAAAGTATCTAGTCTGGGCGACGGTTATAGCCGGTTCACTTTTCGGTTACTTTGTTCCTTATGTCTACATGCTTGATTTTGTTAAAACGAGTTTCCCGGGTCCTGTTGACGGTAAAATCCCGGTTTTATGCATCGGGATTACATCCGGGATCGGCCGACTCATCTTCGGCTACATCGCCGACTTCCCCAAAATCAACCGAATCCTCCTCCAACAAGTCGCGTTTTTCATTATCGGCATCCTCACCATGCTTCTACCCTCCTCAACTTCATCATTCTACTGGTTAATTGCCATAAGTCTCGGCATGGGTCTCTTTGACGGCTGTTTTATCGCACTATTGGGCCCCATTGCGTTCGATATCTGCGGCAATGAGGGGGCTGCTCAAGCCATCGGCTTCTTGTTGGGCACCTGTTCGGTACCACTGACCATCGGGCCCTACGTCGCGGGGCTCATCTATGAGAAACAAAAGAGTTACACCATTCCCTTGATTCTGGCCGGGATTCCGCCCACCGTGGGGGCTGTGGCGATGTTCCTAACGAGGTGTATAAGGACGACGAAAAACGAAACGCTCAAAAATGGCACGTGTAAAGTCACAGGTAGGTTGATCGAGCCACATCAGAGGTCGATTCGAGTTGATGATAATGAGAACGACGCGAATAAAAGGTGCTACAATTATTCGGTTTTGTGATAATTTTGTGATAGAGTGGGCTGTTGAATTGTTTCATGCGCAAATGTTATTGCTGTCGTTATTTTTTATATTTGAACTGCGTCAGTAGCGCCAATATAATGTTGTGATTACAATAGTGATAAAGCAGGCGGTTTTCATCATGAATTTTGAACGGCGCATCGATTTTCGAATACGTTTTTATTGAATAGATTATCACTCGGAAAATTCCTCGATGGACGATCGAAACGTTATTAATTAATTGTCAATAGACTATGGAGGAAAAATCTCGGAATTACAAAATTAAAACTTTTTATTATTAATAATATTATTAATAATGGTGACGCCTCATATTCGTAAGAATTTGAAACGAGTTTCATTGAAAGTAAAATGAAACGTATAAAATTTAAACAAATGGCGTTTTTGGTCTATGGCCAAGTGGGGAAACGCATTTTGTTGATTTATTTTGACTATTTTGCTGCCATTTCCAGACACGTGCCACTATAGTACTTACGAATTTATTTTAGTTAGTTTCCAGTAAGTTGCATTTACTAATTACAGGCTGTGATAAAAATGCACGTGCTTTAATATGATATGAAAAATCCTGAGGGCAATTCTGTTATCTGTATCCCATTTCAACAAGCCTTGAAGTTGCCGCGAAGTCTGGATGAATCATATTTTCGTCTGTTGACTTTTTGGCTGTTTATTTATAGTTATCAAGGATTTCGGTCGATGCCTGAGCAGTTTACACATCTACCTAAATTCTGTTATTGTACTTTAACCCGGAGTCAATTAATCGATTAAGAAGTCATTTTTCGAATGTTGGCCTAATTGATGTAATTTCTTTAATTAAAAGTTCGACATTGTGTCCATTTCGGTATTTCTAATGGTAATAGAGTAGTCTAGTTGTGTCGGTCAATTGAAGCAATTAGGAGTGCAATTGGAGTGGCGAACCTGCGACTAGACGTCCCTTGTACGATACTATTTTACTACCAAATGAAACAATTGCCTTGACAAAATCCGACTCAATTCAATTAAAAAGCAACTGCGTATAAATCATTCCTGCACGCGCTCAAATAACGGATTAACTGACTGCTTATTTTACCTAATTAGGTTATTACGTTCGATCGAATCGATTTTATAACGATGTCGCAAGCAGAATAGAAAAGCATACGCCTCTAATTTACGTTTGTTATATGTTTGCAGAATCCACGGACGTCGAAGATGGTCCTCTATGATTTCCCAAACATGACTCTCGACTTAGTTTTTAGACAAGGTTTTTGCTTTCATTTATTCTGCTAGCTATATCGTCTTTTTAATTTAATCTAATTTTTTTATTCAATGTATTATTGCATTTATTTTATAGTTTTATACGATTTCAATACGATTAGACGATCTAACAATTTTGACAATAAATCATACAATGTACAAAAGATATGAGAATGTTGTTCGGTCTGGAATGACATGGTTTAAACTTAGGACATATCAATGCAAAAGTTATATTTTATCGAAGGACTGTACGAAATTGTTAATAAAAGTATTTTCAGAAGTTTCGAATTTTATTATGCAACACCAAATATTAAGCAACCCTGTTTGTTATCACTGTGATTTAATAATAACTTTTAAATCAACATCGTCAGCTAGCTTTACCTGATAAAGATTTATTAAACGTTTAAAAAAATACAATTCGTCACGACGTTCTCGTTTTTAAAGTTATGTCACGGTTCGAGTTATTACAGGAATTGTTAATAGTTTTTTTTTACGAGCGGTCTAGTCATGACCATTGACCACTGGCATTCAACATAATTTCCTTGATAACTGTGCATCCGCGCGCAAAAAAAACGGCTAAACCCAAGTTCTACTTTTCTCCTACAAACAATAAAAGTTCAACAACCCATTATTCATAGAAAAAGATAACTCAAACAAAAATATCATTGTCTCACATGCAGTAAAACAAAACTTCAATTTAAAATAAATGTTTATTTGTATATATTACATAGAAACTTATGTACATATTTTTACAATCATTAACTCTTCTCAGCTCCGGGTTTCTTAAACTCGTTGGCGATATTTTTGACCGTTTGGATCTTCTCTTTAAGTTTTTCTTTCGCGTTTTCCGCTTCGCTTCCTCCACTTAGCATCAACGTAACAAAATCTGTAAAAAAACAATAGTAACATGTACCAGTTTAAAGGATTTCTCACCGTGATAGGAAGTCAATTCGGTGATTTGTCCCTGGGTTAAATATTGTTTCAAGAAATTTAAAATGGCCGCCACATGTCTCCCACTGGCATGAAGCATACATTGAGTGGCCGTCGTGAAAATAATCAAAGTCGTCAAGTGCAAAACTAGAGCCAAATCATCGCATTTATTCAACTGTTCCAACAAAACATGTTTATGGTTCAAAACTATCGTCCTGTCTTTCTTTTTATCGATTTTCTTGATAATCATACTGCATACATTTAGACTTTCTTCCACGGCAACCATGAACTCGTCGATACTTTGCCCTGTTAGCGACTTAACAAGGGGTAAAAGAGATTTTTTCAAGTCAGGTGGTAACTCGTTAACGAATTTTAGTCTCTGCTCGTTGGTAAAATTATCAGTTTGAGTATTCAAATTTTGTTCAGCGGCCACATAATTCAAGATTTCCGTTGTAACATCGGTACAAAGCGTCTTGAGCAGATATTTTACCAACTGTCCTTGCAAATCCTCCGGCAGCAATTTTAAACCTTTCTCGAAGAGTCTCACGTCTCCGATTAGAGCGTTTAATTTATTTTGGAGCTCGTTATGCGTTTGTCTGCGATTTGCCGTCCTGTCGGCTATAGTCGTGGCGTAAATTTCTCCGGCAATCTCCAATCCTTTCTCATTCAATTGTGGTAACAAATACTGTGTTAAAGGCACAGTTAATTCGTCCAAACCGTCCTCTTCCAACTCCTTTTGAATCAAATCTGCGATATCCTCACTAAGCACAACTTGCAACTGTTGTCTCCTCTCAACAGTTTCAAAATCATCCTCCAGGTGTTTCCCCCGAGTGGCTTTCTTCGTAGACTTGGTTTTGGTCTCGCGCCCTTGCGTCCCACCTCCGCTTTTACCGCCAGCGGCTTTCTTCCGCCTTTCTTCCCTCTTATCAACTTTCTCATCCACTTCTTCAAACTTTTGCGGTTTGCTTGACGAAATTTGGATATCGGTTTGGTATTGCTGGTATTTACCAGACTCGACAACAAATTTAGCTTTCTCTTTAATGAGATCATCGAAATTTTTCGACAAGTTTTCGATAAAAGCTTTACTCAAGATAAAATTCTCAATAACCACTGTTTGTTGCTGCTTTTGTCTCGTCAAAATTGTATCGAGGATTAGTTTGATATCTTTCTCATTAAAAACGGAAGGGAGATTCGATTGTAGGTCGACATAAGATTTGCTAGATATACATTCATCGATATCGGCTTCCGCCCGTTCTAACACTCGTTTGGAAGCAGCACAGGAATTGAGGAAGACCAAGTCTTCTGAAGAGAATTGCTTTTTGATGAAAGACTTGTAATCTGAGATTCCGAGCCTTGTCAACGCGTCGTACTCCAAATAATCGTTTTGTTTATAAAAGTTGTTGACCCATTCATTCTATAAAAACATTTTTGTTTTATGTAAAAAAAAATATATAGGCAGCACATTATACACGCCGACAATGACAGTTGCATATAAACAACTGCATTTTCTTCAAAAATGCAACATTTTCGGATTTATACGAGTAAAATAAGGATTGGAAATAAGAAATAGTTATAAAATAATTCGCAATACGGGCCAAAATTCACAAAAAAATAGAAAAAATAAAACAATTCGAACAATAAATACTTAAAAAAATACGTTATTTATGAATTAATAAATCGACATGCAACTTAGGGCAAGGGCGCATCCGCGCCATCGAATAAGTCTTTTGACTTACCTGCGACCTGGCGTAAACGTTCGGAATATACTGGGCCCCCACAACCCTGCTCGTGAGGGTTCCATGCACGGAGGTTTGATCAAAAAGCGAGAAAAACAACTTCTCGGTCAAATTAATTTGATTTAAAATTGACGCAATTGGTGTTGGTCTAGTCAAGCCACACAGGGCCCCCCTGATCTTGGCTTTGCACCTGGCGATGAACGATTCGGTGAAAAAGACTCTCGGGTCGTTGCTGTCCTGTTTGCCATGAATGATTTTGCCCAAGTGTTTCTCCACGACCTGCTGCTGCAGAAATTCCGCACTTAGGTCATACTGAATTGTTAAATCACTGATGTTAATTTGACCCTGCTGTGCGAGCTTCTCGTTGATTTCCCCAGCGATTTTTGTGATGTAGGATGAGTCGATTAATTGGCCGAGGATGGAATGAAGGTCTTTTTGGCCTTTGAGGACGTCTTTGAGATGGGCTGTGATGTGGGCTAAATCAACGCCAATGTTTTTCGCTAATTCGACTAAATTTATGCGACCTCCGCTGATAAAAAGCTCGTTTTTGATGTCTTGGATTAGGTGGGAAGGGGTCAGGAATTCCTTACCGTCGACAGTGAAAATCAAATCTATTATTTTCTTTTCTTTCAAGTAGTTGATTATTTCAATGCAGTTGCGTTCAGACAGTCTGGAAAAATCAAGAGGGGTTAGAGGTTCCTCCAAGGGATAAATACCTACTTTTGTGACGTGGAACTTAGTTGCACTTTTTGAAAATCGGCCGCCAAACGCTTAATTTCTTCCCAATCTGCCATTCTTAACGATGATTTTTAAGGTTTAAAGAAAACACTCAATTATTATTACAATATAATGCTAGTGGTGAACGAATTTTAAAAATATACGATTTGTTAATGTAAAACTATTACAATTTTAATACTGGACCATATGGATTAACAAGCAAAATACAATTTGCTTACTGTTGTCACAATTTGACATATGACGTAATAAGAGTACCACGTGATGTATATTTTGCCGATAAAAACACAAACTTTAGCGTTTTGAGAAAGATAAGCAGTAGATGTCGCCGTTTTTACAACTTCCACAGACAAAATAAAAGCAGTGGCGTAACAATTAGAAGTTTTATTGTCGTATTTAACAAAACTATTTCCTTAAATTGTTCGAAAGGTTATTTAGATCTATAGATCTTATTTCTTTTTCACGTAGCGTAGCAAATTTATTTTCGATACCCACATACCTCACAGGTTTATAATACCTAAAACAATACAATTAAAAGGAAAAAAGCTTTAATAATATACCTAAGTACCGTTTAAAATTTACTGCGTCTTCAAAAAAATCAGGAAGTTCTCGATTATGTACATCCCAAAACCAAAAAGAACAAGTAACTTCAGCAATGGGTGCTATAAATCCTATAATAACTATGTATGGCCAAATAAATAAGTTTCCCTTTGAATAAGTAAGCATAACAGAACCGAGAAAATTGCCCAAGAAAAATAAACCATGAGTAAAACTAGCTCCTTGCGCTCTGAAATCGGTAGGAAATATTCGTGTTGTTATATTATCCGAAACAATATATGCCACAAAATGTAGAAATGTCGCAAAAAGTTTAAGTCCAAAAATGATTCCTCCGTTCTAAAAAAATATTTTATAAAAAATTGTGTCAATTTTTTGCGTAATATTTTCACGATTTTAATATAGCTGAAGTCGTCGCTTAAAAAAATAACACAAAGAATAACATCCTTCAAAACACAACTAACTGCAATGATTGTACTAATTTTTACAAAGTGAGCCAAAGCAATTCCAGTGATCATGGCGAAAATCGCAAATATACCATAAATGTAGATCTGAGAATAAACGTGGTAAAGATTAAGAAGTAGTAAATCCATTGTGAATCCAATAAAAAATAAATGTATAGTGATTGCAAAGAAGATATTTCGTGTTTCGGAATGTTGCCAAATAATCGGAAATAAATTCGGTCTAGGTGGGGCATTTTCCTAAAAAATAGCCTTGAAAAGTATGTAATAAGCCAAGAATCCACTTGCAAACATACAGTTAACTGAACTGGACGTATTCTGATGTCATTCGGCAAAGGCTGTTTGTTAAATTGAGCTATCTTTCGAACCGATTCTTCCACTCTTTTAAAATCATGAGTCACTAGAACCTTGTTTGGAGAATCTTTAAAGTACCTAAAAGCTTTTTCGTAAAAATACTTTAAAGAAATGTAAATGAAATATACAGTATGGGGACTAAAAGTAATAATGGCAGTACGGAAACGACTGCAACAACTTTGTTTATGTCACTCAAGAGAATAAACAAATATGGAGATATTATTAAACCAATCGGTAATGGCACCATTACAAAACCCAACATGAAGGTTCGCCATTTATTACCCACCGCTTCGCACACTACAAGAAACATTTAACAAAACATACACAACATAATCACTAACCTGCTATTCGCGGAAGTAAAACAGTGCAAGTAGAGCAAATTCCCTGCACCACAACAAAAAACAACATCATTGAAAAGTTGTTAATACTGATTAGAAAAACCCCCAATAAGCATTGCAACGGTATGAAAACCATGGCTGTTATTTTTTGTCCGTATTTATCTGCCGTCCATCCGGTCAAAAGAAAACCTATACCAACCCCAACGCAAAAACAATTTTTCACCCAAGAGCCCAGAATTTCATCCTCACAAACCAGATTAAACTAAAACAAGCGAATTACTTTTGATCTGACAATAGTAACTTACTTTCTCGGCGTAGGTGTAAATATCGTACTCTTTGGAAAAATTAAAGTGTTGGCATTTGGTACCATTGGCGTAGAAACACCGACTGCTGTTTGGAGCGGAACAGGTGTAATTTAAGGGAATTGGGGTTGCAAGTTTCGAGGTGTAGACGTCGAAACCGTGAAATAAGATACAGAGGAGTGTTATACAAACGACACTGATTTGCCACCGGCCAAAACCGCCAGCATTGATGGCTAGGAGCTCTTCAGGCGGAGTGCCGTCTTTGATTTTGGTCAGAGGGAGACCGGAGAGAGACATGACACATGTGACAAAGTCAAAAAAGTCAAACTTTCAATATTTTATTGAGACATTTCGAAAAATCATTTTTTCCTAACAGGGAGCTCGGTCGGATTCAAATCCATTACTTTGACTTCCACTTCCCCTTCCTGTGACCCTCTATTTTCATAGATTATTAAAAATCTCGTTGGTTTGTAAAATCTGAAACAACTTTTTTATTTATGAAAATTGTGTATTCACTTCTATTACTTATCAAATCTTAAACAATCTATTAAATAATCGGGGAGTTCCCGATTGTGAACATCCCAAAACCAGAAACTCGCCAATAGCTCAATAACACCCCCGATTAAAAACACAGCCCCAATGGTCCAAATCGAGTAATCGAAAAAGTAATTTATCAAAATCGCCAAGAAGTATCCAAGATGATACAAACTAAAACACACCCCACAACAGAGACATCTTTTTTCAGTCGGGAACATCCTCGGTGTTAGAGTCGAAAGGGCCGCTCTAACCCCCCACATCCAAAACGCACTCGACAAAAGTCCAACTCGAAAAATTAAACATTCCTGAAAAAATCCCTAAACCTCTTTCCCCAAATTTTGGTATTTACAGGATGCTTCCACAAAAGAGCCAACAATATGCAAATCCCAATTGAGATGTTTTTCAAAATCGTGAAAATTCCTATTATCACTTTTTGCTGGATGAAATGGCACAAAATCACAGCAGTTATGCATCCAAAAACGCCACAACAACCAAACAATGATAAACTCTTAAACTCTTTATAAGCGTATTCCATAATAAGGCTCTGTGTGTATCCCAAAAAGAACCAACTACACAGTAGCGCACAATAAGCATTTCGGAGAAATGTCGGCTTCCAGAGTGCCCAAAATGAGCAGCGTTGGGGCACACCACTGTCCTAAAATTCAACGCTAAAAATGGGTAAATAACGCAAAAATCTACTCTTGAAAAACGTACAACAATTACTTGCACGGGGGCCAAACGCGCCTCCGAAGGCAATGGACGTTTGTTACAACGCGAGATTCTGCGAAGAATTTTCTCTTCTTTGACAAAATCGAGTATTAAAACGACGTAATTGGGAGAGTCTCGAAAATATCTAAAATGTTACGTTTGATGTATTTCCCAGAAAATGTGAGAAAAAATATGAAATGTCTTTGAGAGGAAGAAAAACTACCGCTTTTAGTTTAGTCTCACATTTCCCAGCATTTTGTATGTAAATGTTAAAATATGTTTACATGAGGGGCAAAAGGAGAACTAGAGGAAACACCGAATCTGCAGCAACAATGCCACTAATATCACTAAACAAGTTGTAGAAAAACGGAAATATGGAAATACTAAGAGGTACAGCAGTCGCAGCAACGCCAAGGGCCAAAGTCCTCCACCTATTTCCCACAACATCAGTTACTACAAAACAAAATGTTCAATTTCCAAAACGCAATTTAAAATTACCTGCTACTGCTGGAATAAGATTAATCGAATTGCTAAACACCCCATGAGTGAAGACAAAAAAAATCACAATTTCAAAACTCCTCATACTCAAAATAAACAGCCCGGTCAAGCTTTGCAACGAAATAAACACCATGGCCGTTGGCTTCAACCCGAACTTTTCTCCACAAACACCGCTCAAAAAATATCCCAGAATCAAACCCATCCGGTATAAATTTTTGATCCAAATGACATAATCTTCCTTCTCACAAACTAAATTCATCTAAAATTATGGGATTATTTGGGTTGATTAGAAAAAATTGGTCACTTTTTTGGTGAAAGAAATGACAGAGTACGAGTGGTATTCAAATTCCATGCATTTGGTGCCATTGGGGTAGGAACACTCGGTCGAGTTTGTTCCCTTGCAAGTGTAGTTTATTTCCAAAGGGGATGAGGTTTGGATGGTGGTAACGTCAAGGCCGTGGATGAATTGGGCGAGAAAAGCGACGAAACAGATGGATATTTGCCAGAAACCGCAACATCCGGTTATGGCAGGGAGGATTTCTTCGGGGGGTGACGAGTCAGAGACTAAAACGTTGTTTCTGAAAAACTTCATTTTGTGTCAAGAGATATGACACACACGACATACTGGTTTTTACTTTTCGGGATCAACAGAGAGACATTACATTGCGTTCGTTTATTTTATAATCAAAAATTGAGGCCCCAGATGTTGTTTTGGACCAGTTTGCCACCCTTTTTGCAAAAAAACTGTTGCCAACTAAAATTCATTTTTGATTTTACAGTAATGCTTTGACTATTTTTCCAGCCCAAGTACAATAAGATTTTTAATATCATTTGATAGGTATATTTTTTCAATTTGCAAATATGTGTGTGGTGACCATGTAGGCACTTTCATTGTTTGTATATTTTAAGAGTTTACCTTCACCTTCCTCTATTTATCTTGCAATAACTTTGACTAAATATTTATTTTTCTTTAGATTGTAATAACAATTACTTTTGTAATCGACACGCAACCCATTTAATAAAATCGCTTAGAAATTTCTGACTGATTTATTTCCAAAAAAGTTACATTAAACCTTGATTTAATTTAAATGTTGACGTCACTGCACCGGTTCGCTCGGGAAAACTTTCCACTGCACTCCAGGAAATGGCATCTAGTCAACGCTCCTCCCAGCAGAGTTCCCGAAGGAGTGAACACAAAAATCGCGATAAATGGGAAGAATGTTGACCTTTTACTTTATTTACTCTACACGTGTCTGAAAAATTTGGCGCTACAAAGCCGAAAAACCATCAACAACAGATGGAACCTTTTTTGACTTGCACGTATCGTAAATAAAATAAAAAACAATTGTTGTAGTTTTTAGAGTATGTTTAATGAGCTTGTAATTACAACAAACCTAATTTAGATGCACTTATCACACGGTTCTATTTATAAAAGCGGAATTAAAAAGATGTTGGTACGTTTGAGTTATCTCAATTTTTCAGTGATAAAAGTGTGTTTGCTCACAGGGGAGCTAAATGAGGATTTTTCCCAAAGAGAGTTTGTCAATTTCATTATCACCCAGTGCGAAACGTACGACTTATATATAAACAGAGAAAAAATTAGGAAATTGTAGTTTTGCCAAAGGATCGGGGACTAACAAAGCAAAGGTTTTAGTACAGTTTTCGATGATCAATTTTATTGACGTTAACTCTCCGACTAGTTTTAAAAATAGTGTTAGTTTGCAGAAGTGGATGTGAGTTATAGAGACGGATACACTTTGTATCTGAGTCATTTAACAGAAATACAATTTATTGTGTGTGACAGGTGCAGAAGGAAATAAAAAAAAATGTTGGGGAATAAGACGAGGAAAGGATAGGTAAATTAGTAAATTTGACCTCTATTCTTTTATAGAGCTTTTTTCGTCAATTTAGAACCGTTTTAAACTTTCTCTTTGCGTTTTGATCACTAACTTTCATCAAATCGTAACAATAGCAAAAAAGTTGACCTACTTGTATCAAAAAAAAAAAAATTACTTGTTGTTCACAAGCATGTTTAAACCGATTTGTTGAAAGTAGCAGATATCGATCTGTTAAGATAAGTTAATAATAAATTTTCATGTTATCAAGGCCAGGAATAATCGACTCACGTAAATCGTAAAAACTCGTAGCAGGCCTAGTGCATCATTGAGAAACAAAACGATTTTTATTGACTGAATAATGTAGTTCCAAAGTCGCGCATTGAGTACCTATTGTATTTACATATTTATGACTTGATAGTGCATTTTCCGAAGCACCCTTTTCAGAAAAACCACGTGCTTTTGGCACCAACACGTGACAAGCCGATCACTTTTCCCAACCACATTTGGTATATTATCTTGTTGGAGAAGCGCAGTCGCTTGGAACACATGAAATGTAAAAGAGTGTAGTGTGTGGAGAAGACTTTTGTTTTGTAAGTCGGAAGTACCAGCGAGATGGACGGGGCCTACGATTTAGAGACCATGATGGGGTATCTGGGTAAGTCACATTTTGGATTTTAACAATTTTTGGGTCACTGACCACTATGGAACTAATTTTAGAATAATGTTTGCCATAAAACTGCAACTTGAGGAGAGGGACCTTCTTGTTTTTTTTTTGATCGCCAACTGTTTGCACATTTTACTATAGCTATTACAAAATTTTATGGAATGATATATTGGCGATATAAATAATCTCAGTTGAAGTAATTATGTACACAATGGCTCAATCACATTTCAAAATCGTGCTAAAAAACAAAGGCCCCATTTTTCGTTCTTGACTTACTAGCACTGTTTTTATCGCTGTTGATTTGTCCCCAATATTTCCGAATCAAAATGTTTATCTAGGCGTTGCAACTATATCGTGATTTATTATATTTGCAGATTTTTCAAAATTGCTTGTTTCCTCCGAGTACAAAGAGATGGAAACGTAGATTGACACACTTGTGGTCATGAAAATAAAAATTAAAACCATAACGAATCCGAGATAATGATTTACATATAATAATGTGAACGACCTCGCCTTTGCGATTATCTTCTGACGGAAAATATCCGAGAATAAAGCCCTTTCTCAACATGAATGTTGACTAAAATCGGGACCCTTGAGCTTGACCTGGAGACAAAATAAGTCATTTCCTGTCCAGTTTGGAAAATAATAATGCATACAATAGGTTGAGACACATAATTTACTATTTATTATTACTACTGTTTTCGTAAAAATTCAAAGCAACAATGTTGCATTCTGTTTGTTTTTAAACATCGAAGCGAGTCTTGAGGTTTCAAAGGAAATGACTTCAATTCAATTATCGCAACTTGTAGTAAAAAAAATGACTAACGAAGTGTATTTAGTAAAATTATCGTTCAAAGATCGTTTTTATTAACTCAATTAACACATTCAGGTAATGCTCACTTGCTAAGCTAATTGTGTTTAATTAGCCCTGGCGCTATATTTACTTGGATTTTTTACCCCACTTACGAAATTACGTCAATCGATGTTATCACTTCTTGCAAAATTTAATTGTCAACAGGGAAATTCACTTGGTGATAAATGATATAAATCTGAATTGAGTATTTTTTTATAATTATCGGACCAGAGACAGTTTTATGCTCTTAAATTTTATCTCTAATTAAAAAGATATTAGGAAATAAATGATGGGACTATAACCTGTATCATTAAAATATTACACATCAAACACAATTTGGCTTATCAGTGTATTGAGAGATAAAATTGTGGGTCAAATAACACAATTGGTCCAGAATAAATAAAAAACAAGAACAAATCTCATACAATTTATTGCGACAAAAAAATTTATTCTTCAATAAAAACATTTTTGTTTGTAAAACTCCGTTAGACAAAGAAACATCAATACCAAATTAGTTCCTAGTTGTGTTTCAAAACCACAAAATAAAAGTTTGGCAGGATTTTAATTTAACAGTTGCTATAATTTTTGTGTCACGGGAGTAAAGTAATAACTTTGCGCCCTTGACAAGTTCGAAATTTTTTGTAGTATTTAAACAGTTTTACATAATTCCCCAATTATCAGTCGGTTTTATTTTTAAAAACAAATTCTTGTTTATTGTATGTTTTTCGTAATCAACATAAATAGCATCCATTACGACTTTTAGGATAAAATAATTTCATAAAAAAGTACTCCCATATCGGCAAATCTTTTTATTTTGCATATAGTTTTGGTCCAGTGATCCACAACAAAAGTGTCAAGGCCGGAAAATGTATTTTCCGGAATCTACAATACTTTACGCTTTTATGCAAAAATTATCTTCTTTTAGGTGACTTCGGTCGCTACCAGATGTGGCAATTCAGCCTTCACATCCTCTCAGCAGTCACTGCCGGCCTCCACATGCTTTCCCTTGTAACAGTGGCTGCAGTACCTGAACACAGGTAATTCCCCCAACACTCCCAAAGCTCTGAAGTAATAAATTTTCCCCCAGATGTGAGATTCCAGGGGTCGATTTCAATCTCACAATGACGAAATTAAATTCGTCCGAACTCGCTTCATACATTCCCAAACTCCCTTCTGGAGATTTCGACAGTTGTAGCCTCTTTAATACCACCACCAATGAGTCGTACCGATGTGATTCCTGGGTGTACGACTACACGTACTATAAGACTTCCAGAGCGATTGAATGGAGTTTCGTCTGTGATAATAGATGGATGGGGGCTGTAGCTCAAGCCATTTATATGTTTGGGGTATTCACCGGAGCTGTAACCCTCGGGAATATGGCGGATAAGTTCGGACGAAAACCGGTTTTCTGCTGGTCAGCTTTATTGCAACTAGTAATCGGAGTTGCAGTGGCTTTCACCCCGGATTATTACTCCTTTTTAGCCCTGAGGTACTTGTATGGGATTTTCGGATCCGCTGGGGCTTACATACCAGGTAAAAAAGTTTTTGTTTTTGAGTGTTAACACTTAATTTCGTTTTTGTCAGGTTTCGTGTTGACGATGGAGCTAGTGGGCCCCAGTAAGCGCTCCATGTGTGGCGTGGCCTTCCAAGCGGCTTTCGCTTGTGGCATTATGCTCGTCGCGGGCTGGGGGGCCCTCATAAAAGACCGTCAACTGCTCCAAGTTGTCTACGGACTGCACAGTGTGCTTCTTATTGGTCACTATTGGCTCATGGACGAGTCACCCAGATGGTTATGGGCCAATGGCCGGTCACGTGATGCCGTCGAAATCGTCAAAAAGGCACTCAAAATGAATAAAAGCCCAATTAATCTCGAAGCGGCCGAATTCGTATCGAAAGGAACGGCCGAAAGTCGGACCAAAACCGAAGACTCCGTCGGAGTTTTGGATCTATTTAAAACACCAAATTTGCGAATTAAAACTTTGAATGTCTGTTTGAATTGGTTTGCGAACTCGCTGGTTTATTATGGGTTGTCGCTGAATACGGGTCAGTTGAGTGGCGATCCGTTTTTAATTTTGTTTGTCATGGGTTTGGTGGAATTGCCCAGCTATGTTCTAACTGTCTATTTGATGGACAGGATGGGTCGGCGGTCCTTAACCGCCCTCAATATGATTCTTGGCGGGATTTGCTGCATCGCTGCAGCGAATCTAACCATGGGAAGTACCGAATCGACCGCCTTCGTCGTCGTTGGCAAATTCCTCATCGCTAGTTCTTTCGCGATCATTTACAATTACTCAGCCGAACTTTTCCCCACTGTTGTCCGAAACTCCGCTCTCGGAATCGGCGCGATGTGTGCGAGAACTTCCGGTGCCCTAACTCCTCTCATAACACTCCTGGATTCGTTCGATCCAACCCTACCGTCCATTATCTTCGCAGTTATTGCCCTAATCTCCGGTTTTCTGACGCTTTTCCTCCCGGAAACTTTGAACAAACCCATGCCTCAAACAATACAAGACGGCGAAGAATTCGGGAAAGGCGACACTTTCTTCACTTCCTGTTGCAAGAAGAAGACTCCGGATGAGGAGGAAACAGTCACTTCCAAACCACCAACTTCCGAACAAATGCAACCGCTGGGGGTTAACAGGTGAAGCGGGCTAGTGACTGTTAGTGTAGTAGGAGTGTGGACTTAATGTCTACTATTTATTCATAAAATAAATATTTTTATAAAAGTAAAACCCTGTTTGAATAGCAAAATCAAAATATGTAACATTTTCGTACCAAATAAGTCACGTAAATCTAGGGACCACGTGACTGGAAAAATTTTTTAAATCAGGATCTAGAATCTATGGAGCTTGTGATGATAATAAAAAATTAAGGAAAACTAATTTATCAACGAATAACTTTATTTACACATAGATACATAGTTAACGTCTTTTTGTTTATTTTATTACCATTAAAATAATAGAAAGTGAATACGAACTATTGTTCTGGGATAAAGCTTGAAAAATAGTCTAAAACAAGCATAAATTATCCATAAACGAAAATAATCTCCTTTTTACGTAATTATATAATTTCAAGCTTCGGAATTGCGGAATAATTCGAGAACGTCAGTGGACATACATTACGACTATACAAAATATACATAGCCATTTTACAAATACGTATCCGTATTTTTTGGTACGTTTACATTCTTTTTTTTATTTATAAAGTTGATCAAACTTGTTTTACACGAAATTGCAGCAACTTTAAATCGATAATTTTGTCACAACCAAATAAACTAACAAAAATTTTGTGTTATCGTTTTTAATGTTACTGAATTTCGTAAATCGTGTAAATATAGTAAGCAAAAAATAAACAATATACGAATCTACTTAAAATTAAAATGGTGAAAAGAGAAAAAATCACAGACTAAAGACTAGCATGAACTAAACATTTAAATTCGTTGTCGTTAATAAATATACAAAGGAAGTTCACAAGTTTTTTTGTAATTGCGAAAGAAAAGTTACTCTAAACTGAGTATGGACTTACATTTGAAATTTTTATCCTCACCCTCCAAAAAATGAAGTTGGTTGTTATTCACCAAAGTACTGAAAACAAGTTTTTCAATTTTTGGAGGCTCAACTAGTGTTTTAGAAAATAATGGATCTAAGTGAAAGTCCGTTACAGATTCATGTTTGAAATTGTCTTAAATTTCCCCGATGAGTACTTTCGGAATTATCTTTTATTAGCAACACTTTTATTATCACATTGAGTTAAATTAATTATACAGTTACAACCAACAAATCAATCACGTAATTCCATAATAAATGAGTGACAGATTCTACATAGAGAGAAATTGACATATTGAGAGGCTCTAATGAAAGCTCACACTTAAAAATAACTTTGAAAACCTGTACAAAACATTAACTCCGTTCTGGACACGACGTCTGTGGCAATCTCCCCTTAGCCCCCGCATTGTCCACCCCGAGGGCCGTGTGCACCACAATGCTGGGCTGGCCGGGGGACGGGGGATGCACCTCGTGCGACGCCCCCGGCGTGAGAGTCGCCAAAGCTGCAAGAAGGTCATGATTGATAATGGGCTCACCTTCCGGCCGGGGCTCCCAGTCGAGAGGGGGCGACGCCGGTGGCGAAATTAGGAACTGCTTGAAGGGGGCTGGCGGCTGCAAACTGGGGTTTTTGACGGGGGTAACGGGTTGAGCAAAGTAACACGTGATCACTGAGTCGTTTATCTTGTATTGGTGGAGCTGAATGCGGGCACTTGCCGCCGCCACTGGGGTCTGGAAGTTCACTCTCAGTCTTCGGAAGCTGCGCAGCCACTGGAATGTCACATCCGGGTCATAGATCCGGAATAGATTCTCTATCTCGCGCTTTTTCTCTAGAATCATCAAATGAAATATTTTGGGGTTTTATGGGAGCTGCTTACCAGATGAGGTAAAGACAGTGTCGTGGATGTTGGTGACGATGAGGGACGTCGGCAGGTCTTCAAACTCGTCGTCGGTCACATGTTCGGGGCTATCGATATCGGCTTCCGCGAGGAGGTTGGGGTGGACGTTGGGGAGGCCGTCTTGGTCGTTTATGATAATATCGTCTTCCATTTCGCCGTTACTTTCAGCCATTGTAACGAAAATAAATCGAAAAATTTGATTATATTTCACTGACACGCGATGTACCGGTGTTTAAACCCCATAAAACAATGCGCACTTTTTTGTTGAAATTAAATGAAAATTAACTCTTATTTGCTGAAAATATTAACACAAAAACATTGCGATATCAAAGTGCAAAAAACACAACCCAACAATTGCAAATGCCAAATGTCAGCAATAATTGACAATTGACAAAGGGGATGAAAGTCGAAAGATCACTCAAGCGAAATTGTTACAGTGGACCAAACCAAACATTAAATATTGTTTGACCTAAAATACTGAACCATATTTCCGACTTACTGAAATTCATTATAAAAGTAAAAAAAATTATGCCTGTGTTCCATCATAAAGTACAAATTGAAAAACAGAAAAACATAGAAAATACCAATTTTTTACTTTTTTCTGCTACAAAAGACTGCAAAATAATTAATTTTGAGGCCATTTTTTTGTATTGGCGGTACTGTCAATTGTCAAAATATCCGATTTTGACAGGTTAATAAGTTTAATTTATAAATAATTCGTTTAAAAAATTGTAATTACTATTTTTATGTAACAATAACGTTAAATTAATACAGTTATGGCATTTTCTTTCGGAAATGCGAACCAGTCAACATTTGGAAGTACGCCGAATAAACGTAAGTTTTTCTATAGTAAGAAAGTTAGGTTAAGTTTTCTTCATGTACTTATTTTCTTTTTAAACAGTAATTAAAAAACAATTAATTGTGTCGCACAAATGCCTGTTGTAACGTTTTTATTTTTTATTATTGAGCTTATAATAAAAAAATTCCGGGTAAATCTATACTCAAACAGTAACTTTTTGTGTAATTCTTATATTAATACAAATTTTTGCACTTTTTACAGAAAAAATGTTAATTGGTCCTTTAAATGTTTTTAAAGGTCAACAAAAATAGTTTTGAGGTGATTGTTACACTTGCACATGTGAGTAAGTGCTTAAAAATTGTGTTGAAACTCAGGTATTCTACATATTCAAATTAAATTTTTATCACAATTGTTCTGTGCAGTACACAGTTAGTTATTTCCTTAGCAAAACATTGATAAGGCTTGTTTAGAAATAATACTTTTTTTGTTACTGGAGCTTGACTGAACGTGTTTAATATCAAAAGAACCTAAATATTATTATTCAAAACTGTATTTTATAGCAATAACGATTTTACAACACATAAGTTTACTTAAGCAAATAACAAAAATATAATAATTATAGTAAAGCATAACAAATATCAAACAAAATGTAATTAATAGGATTTCATTCTTCCGCTTGAAATGGTAACTTGACTCAAATCAGTTGCACAATCAAGCGATCCTGAACGCCTAGCTTTATATCTTTTATAAATGATAATCAGAATAATCAATATTAAAAGCAAACTGACAATAATCACGCCCAAAACGGCGTACAAAGTTTTTCCTTCAACTTCATAATCTTCGTAATTTGTTGCGTTCGACATATCCGTACTTGAAGAAAATACGTTAAATGGGGTAGTAGTAAGAGAACTTCTTTCCACTTCTGTGATTGTTGTAGCATTGTTTGTTATTTCGGTGATTATTGAATTAGTGTTGTTTTCAAAAGTGTCAGGGATTGTAGAGGTTTCTCTAGTACTGCTGGACACTTCGGTTACCAGTGTATTAACGGTAGTGGTGAAATTTCCAAGAAACTCAGAAGTGGTAGAAGCCTCTGTGCTGTTGGTAATTTCGGTAATAGTATTAATCGTTTCCGAAATGGCACTGTTGGTTAAGTCGCTAGTAGCAGGAGGGGTAAAACTCTGCCCTATTTTAAGCATGTTTTCGCCGTCTGTGACTTGAAGTGTCGATCCGACACTTTTAATAGCCGTTGTTGCACTTTTAGTGGGAAATGTGAATTCCTGAAAATGATATATTTAAATAGAGCCAGAAAAAATAAAAATAAAACTTACCATCGTCTTTGAAGTCGTATTATTTTGCGAAGGAAAAACACTTAGCTCTCGACTTAACACTGCAAGAACTTATCAGCGACTGAAAGTTTCTTCGTACGCTTTGAATTTTTATCGCTATTGTTTATATGTGCGACCACGATTTTTCTTCATTTCCTCCTAATTCCTAGTAAAAATTAAACAACAACGAGGGGATTACTCATAAAATGCTGTTTTTAATGCAATTTGTTGTGGTTGGGACAAATGAGAGACGTCACTTTTGATATGAAATTTGGAAGGGTTTTTTTAGACGAAGGAACAAACTATGCAAAATGGACGAGAACTTTTAAAATGTGGTTTCAAAAATACGAAATCTTAGGAAATCTGGCTTCTACCCATTTCAATGTAAACCTTGAAAAATATTTTGAAAAAATTCGTCTGGAATGACATTTGAAAGATTAAAACAATTTCATTTATTTTTTAAGATATACGGTAGCAACAGCGTATTTTTTGCATGATAAATATTCGCATTGTTTTGCATTTTTTTCTTGAGATTAGATTCCGTTTCGAAATTTTGTCGTAAAATATACTTTGATCGAAATTCTAGAATTCTGAATCTTTTTGTTTCTCAAAATATGCAGAATTAATAATGTTTCTGTTTACTTTTGTTTGTTCTTACGTTGTTTTTCGTTTTTCTTTTATTGAACATTTAACAACTCTTGTGGTTTTCTATCAAGGATGTTTAAATTCGTTACCATTTCCTTTGTAAAACATTTTCATGGAATTTATCGAGGAATTTGTCAAAAAATAAAAAACGTGGTAAATTTCAAACAATTTTGTGTTTATTGTGTTTTCTTTAACATAAAACGCATATTTCTTATCATTTCTTACTAAGGCAAGTAAACACCTAGTCACATTTTTATTTTTTCTTATTATTCATCCACAGCCACTGCTTTCGGTACCCCATTTGGGGTAACCACGACCACAGCCAGTACCGGTTTCGGCGGTTTTGGAACTTCATTCGGAACCACTTCCCAACCGTCGACCGGTTTTGGTTCAACTTTTGGCGCTCCTGCTCAATCCTCAGGTTTCGGTAGTACTTTCGGAACCCCTGCAACTTCCACTCCGGCATTTGGTTCAACTTTTGGAACTCCAGCATCATCTTCAGCTCCTAGTTTTGGTACGGGTTTTGGTCAATCGACAGGAGGCGGTCTTTTCGGTACTCCCACAACAAAACCAACCCTTTTCGGTACTCCCACAACTTCGACTTCGTTATTTTCGACGCCTAGTACGGCCCCGAGTTTATTTGGGAGTGGTACCACAACGCAAGCACCGAGTCTTTTCGGGGGCGTCACGACGTCTACTCCTAGTTTATTTGGAGCAGGGAGTACCCCAGCTCCGAGTTTGTTTGGTACTACGACAACTTCGGCCCCAAGTTTGTTTGGGAGTTCGTTTGGGGGGACTGCAACTACTTCGGGAGGTTTATTTGGGGGAGGTACAACGGGGTCAGGGTTTGGATTATTCGGGGGTACTACAACGACAAGTGCGCCATCTTTATTTGGAGGTTTTGGGAGTACACAAACAACTGGGGGATTTGGAGGGTTCGGGGCGAGTGGAGGGTTTGGCCAAACACAAGGGAGTTTGTTTGGAGGAGGTTTTGGGGCAAAACCGGCACAACCTCCAGGTAAATACTCGAGTACCCATTACAGGAATCTGTAACTTTTTATTTAGGTGTTGCGCAAAATGCAGTCACAACTCAACAACAACAAAACCAGCTTGTAATTCAGTCGATATATGCTATAAACATTTTTAATGATGAGAGGGATGATATTTTGAAGAAGTGGAATCTGTTACAAGCTTGTTGGGGTACCGGGAAGGGGTATTACAGTCCGAATCAACCACCGGTTGAATACACCGTTCATAACCCGTTTTATCGGTTCAAAGCAGTCGGTTATAACATAATTCCAGAACATGATAACACAGAAGGTATAGTCAAGTTGATTTTTAACCGAAAATACGCTGAACTCAGTTCGCAAAAACAAGTCCTAATCAATGGCATTAGTGGGATTCTGGGTAATAAACCCAACCTCAAGGTTACAATCCAACACATCAAAGCCCTTTCTGACACACAATCCGAATTAAGAATTGTGGTTATGGAAAAAGGAGTCACCGGAACCAGCCGAAAAATCCCAGCCACCGACTTGGCCAACTATTTGAATCAACCAACGCAAAAACAACAATTGACTAACGTTGGTGTTACGACTATCATTGCGTATGTAACACCCTCGAAAGCAGCATTGGAAGAATACTTAAAAACGGTGCCTCAAGGTTTCGACCCTCAAATGTGGAGGGCGGCGATTATGGATAACCCAAACCCTAGTAAATACATGCCAGTGCCGATTTACGGTTTTAATGACCTTAAGGCCCGCAAATTGAAACAGGAACACGAAACGGGCTTACATAAGGCTTTTGAGGAGAAAATCACAAACGAGTTGGCCGAATTGAAGAAAAAGCATGCGGCTTCACTCGCACGAATTAACGAGCTTAAACACAGATTCCTGCATTTGCAACATAGAACATTGAGAGTAATGTTTTTATTTTTTGTGGAATTGTTGAAGTAGTTGGATTTTTTGTAGATTTTGGTTAGACAGGAAAGTATACGAAAAAATGGCTTGGCCTTGCAGCCTGAAGAGGAGTATTTGAAAGGGAAACTCGAAACGATGTATGCACATCTTAATGTTCCGACACAGTTTAAGGTACTGCCTGTGGTAATTCTCAACAGTTTTGTTTATTGCTGGGTGTTTCAGGGTCAGTTAAATGAGTTAATTTCGACGGTGAAACTCATGGAAAATACAAGTCGGCCCCCACAACCACGGTATAAATTGGTACAGGAGTCTCAAGCTGAACTGAAAGATTTTCTCCAATTGCAACAAAATGGTATTTCGAAATTGGTGGAGATTGTTAAGGAAGACATGCGTTCTTTGAATATCATGGTCGACGGTATGCGCCAGCTTATGCAGAATAAAACTGTAATTTGATCAATAAATTGATTTATTTTTGATTGTTACTTTTCATTTTACCCAAATTATATGAATTTTAAAATAAATAATGAAATTTAAATAATGAAAATTAAATAATTATTTAAATAATAAATTCCTCGAATTTCATGAGACGTATTTGTGAACCCCCTCAAGACTAAAACTCCGAAAACTGGTTTCATTTTTATTAAATAAGCAGAGCTCTGCATCAATAAATATAAAAAGGTTATCACAATGTCTTATTGCCATTAACAAAATTAAATAAAATAAATACGATCTACTCTAACAAACACAATACTCTTAAAAGTCAAACTTTCCTATTAATACTCAAATCCAACGGCACGTCCACATCCATTTCCTGCTGGGGTGCGAAAAAGTACGGACTTTCCGTCATGTACCCAATCAAACCCCCGAACCGGACCTTATCCTTCCCCGCGCAACACATGTGTGTGCAATCGCACGAATGCGCTTCTTGTACCTTCTCAATACTGTTATTTTTGACATTTTCATCCACCTTGTCGACGAAATGTTTGTAGGTCTTGACATGTTTCCGGAGACTACTGGGATCAGTGTACCTCTTGGGGCACCCGGGGACTTTGCATTGGTAAGGTTTCTCAACTTGGTGCGTCCTAGTGTGCTTAAACCGATCACTGGAATTCGAGTACGCCTTGTTACAGCCCGGAACCGGACACACGTACGGTTTTTCCCCGCTGTGTGACCTCGAGTGGATTTTCAAATTTTCAGCGCGCGAAAAGGATTTGTCACATTGGTAGCACTGGTGCGGTTTTTCGTTCGTGTGTGTTCGCACGTGTACCAACATTTTGTACCTAAATTAGGGCTCATTAGTCGGAGTTGGATGGATTAAGCGAGTTGGCTTACCTAGCATTGAATCCCTTGCTATTTCTGGAGCAGCCTTCCCACCCGCAATAGAATAATCCTCCGGGGCCACTGGATGCGTGGATTTTGGTCACGTGACTGGCGAGTTGGTCTAGGGAGTCGAAAGTGATCCCGCAGGACTTCCACCCGCATCGGACTTCGTTTGTTTTGGGGCTTTTGGGGGTGTGTTGGATGACGCTCCGGGCCCGGATTGGTTTAGGGGAGACTTCGATGCTCGATAGGGAGTTATCACTGTCGCTCTATTAAAAAAAATATTTTTGGGTTTGTTTTTTTTTAATTTTGTTCGTTTTCTACCTGAGTGCTATTGGGTGAACTGGGGACGATTATGTCTTCTCTAATTTCATTAATTTCCATTTTGTAGGGGTAGAAATATTCAGGGTAGGGTTGGTAGTAGTAGTGGAGGGGTTGGCCCTCGATCATTCTGCAGTCAAACAAAAGCATTTTGCTGGCACCAACTTCTGATTTCAAATAAGACAAATCGGGAGAAATTTCAGTTTATATAAGTTGTGATAAGAACACATCCATCTCTATCTCTTTCTGATCCACTCGAGGAGAGGAACAAACCACTTGAAATTTGTTTTGTTTCAAGTATAAAAATAATCATATTGTGTAAATTTAAATATTGATAATAAACGTCTTGTTACCATTTGGATTTGATTGGTTTGGGATTGGCGGGGGGCAAAGTAGACTTAAGATAAGTCTGAAGAAAGTCATTCTAAAGTCGATACTAACTAGAAAATTCTAGTTTGCTGGTTTTTATGGTCAGAGGGGCTTGATAAACGTTGCTCATTTATTGACCCCGTAACTGGTTTCAAGTCGCTGATAACCGTCGAAATAATTCCACAAGTCGCAATAATTTTCACAATTTTTTCTCAGAGGTGCATCCTCCTTATCACCTTGATACTACTTTCTGATAACAGCTACGTTTATGAATGATCTGTTAACACCTCATTCATGGAATCGAGTAATCTCTTATCAATTTCCGGTGAGGTGTCTACACAGGATGTAAACAATTCAATCGAAATTGTTTTTTGATCACACTTTACGTGAAAATTTCACAATGGATGTATTTTTGGCTCGAGATAAATTATCACAAAGCCCCCAACCGAGATTGAGTAAATTGCAACACAATTGATGTTGTAATTTTTCGTATTTAGTATCACTGATTGGAAACTGGGAATAACCGGATCGGGGGGTCAAATTACTGCATTGTAATCTTATTTACACATTAACACGAATTGGACATCAAGGAAATGGACGGAAAACACGCGTTTTTTGGGTACCACACGGAACGGGCAATAATATGACGCACGTGGGGGACTATTTTTGTCGAATTTTATCAGTAGGAGTTGGTCTATTAATAAGCAAATAAAAAATGTCCAAGAAATGAGCAAATGCATTGATTCTTTTTTCCTAATCGACAGAAATAAGCCATGAATTATAATTTATTAATTATTATGATGAGTTGTTGTGTCTGTTTTTATCGACTGTCGTGCAATTAGCGGATATTACTAGGCATGTTCTAGAAGATTTTTTTAAATTGGTCGCAATTGATGAATCTGATAACGAGGAGAATTCGAATTGAAGACTTTATGATTATTTCATTTACCTTTTTTTACATGACTCTTATTAGACTTTTAATTCAGTTTAATTCAGTTGCATAAGGTAAATCCGGAAGAAATGGACTTTGGAACTTGGAAACTATTTTTTAAAGTATTATTTAAAAGATGTGTTTTTTTATTTTGTTATGCTTATAAGATGTCTAACACTGAATGCTGCCAGAAAAAACATACATGGTTTAATTTTTTTTTTTTTTCAAAATGTGGTAAATCTCTTCTCGACTTACGCTGTTTTGCACCAAACGCTTTTTTTATTACAGAAACGAATAACAAAATAATACATTATTTAAAAGTTGTATACGTATTTAGTTAACTATCAAAAGTAAAGAACTATTGATAAAATGGACATTTTTAAAAATGAAATTAAAAATGAGGATAATGATTTTTTATCATTAACCATTTTGATATCTGATTTATTAGAATTGATGTATCGAAAAAAATTTGACAAAACTTTAGAAAGAAAGATAAATGATAATGGAAGAGTAAGCTTTTATTTATTTTTCGCATTTGTTTCTTGGAAAAACATTGATACATGGAATGGAATAATTTTATCTAAAAAAAATGAGTAAAAATTTAAAATACCTACATCAACTTACAAAGTTGTATTTTGATTTAACAATGAAATTTTTAATTTTAATTGACATTTACATACAATAACTATTAACAATAACTATTGGACAATGTATGATTTAAATGGAATAATGAAGTATTTAGTGAGAAAAGGTTGAGAAGCCCAGCAATAGACTAATTTTGCATCGTAATTCTGTTTTGCTTTGGCTATTTGTAAAATGCGTATTAATTGTAATAAATTATTGTGACTATATCGGACAAACAACAATCAACAATGTTTATTATTTGTAGTAGATAAAATGTAGACTATGTGTAGGGGGTACCTAATTTAAGTTGCAATTGATTTTGAAAAAAAGTAGGGACAAGGGGATTTACAACAATTTTATACCGATAAAAACTTCACTTGTGGTTTTTCCCTTTAAATTTCCACGTTGCATCAAGCATCCGTTAATCATGTTTACATTTCGCACGCACCAATAATCGTCCTTCCGAGAGTCATTAATCGAAAATAACCGCTTTTGCGAAACCGATAAATCTCGCATGGAAAACATCAATAAGATTTATTAAAAAGAGCACTGGCAAGGACAAATTCGGTCAAATCCAGTTAGACTAATCAAAATCCGGGCACCCCTGACCTCTCGCCATTGAGCAATAATCTCTGCAGGAGGTTGCACGATAAACAATAAATCGTTTCGAAACCCGTTTGGCGCATGCTTTTAATATTTATTTTCTTTTGATTAACCGGTTAGCGCGAAACACCTGCCGCAAGTGGCTCCAAGTCGGACCTCCCGCGAAGCGAAAATTTATCACAAAATCAAACTCAAACACATACCAGAGATTTACAAGCTGTGAGAAACGCACCACTTCGTTCTATAAATTTTCTAAAACTGTTTGTCCCCAGTTACATTCGACCACAGTGGTGTTAAGCTTTTTTCATTTCGGATTAAAAAAAACACATGTTATTGGAGTGGATCGTTGGAGGTTTGGGAATCCTCTTTGGAGGAGAGATGGGAGAGTTCAGCTGGACGACTGCGTCTATTAAAACGGACCCCATACAAAGAAGGCAATTTTGTATAATGCCACCTCACTACTGTCTGCTTCTCCGTCTGGCAAACAGTCGATGGGTTTGCGGAGTGAGATGGAACAGGTCTTTGATGAAGGTCCAAAATGCCCCCAGCAAGGAGCGCTGCTCCGCCCTGCGCTTTTTTAACCAATGATCGTGGGATCTAACCCCGATCAGGGACTTTTTACCTAGTTATTGCGACCGGGTCGTCTTTATCTGGTCATTGTTGGGACACGCACAGGTAGGTAAGAGCCCATTTCGACAAAAAGCGGTTACGCTGGAAAGAATTAAGAAGACAGTTGGAAATATTTTCAAACAAAAAAATTGTGCTAAATACAGAGTTTTATGTTTAGGTACGTACTTCGCTCAAAGTTTTTTTAATATTATCGAAAATAGAAAAATTACAATGCCACGGATCTAAAAATGTCTCTTTTGCAAATATTCCAACATTAATTTTGGAAAATATTTTTTCTTGTTTTTACTTTTTACAACTATTGTTAAGTTTCATGTTTTTACATTTTTCTATTATTTACGTTTGTTTTGGAATTTTTTTTTCAATCACCAAATTTTTTCACCTACATTTTCTTACATGTTCTTACATTTTCACATATTATCAGTGGCGCAGCGAGTGGGGGGTTTTGAGTGTTAAAACTAAAATTATATTCTAGAAACAACTAAATTGAACATTCGAATTTGGTATTCAATTGTTTCCGATTTTATAGTCGTCACCAGGAATATTTGAGATTGACGTATGCAAAGCTTTATGAGGATTAAGCAGCCTTGCGGTCGGCCGTAATAATTTTTCACTGCTGGTGGTACTACCCTGAAGATTTACAAAAGAGTACGGCTCTTTTTTTTCTCAGGAATTTTTGGTGGTAGGCTTTTAATTTAGTACTGGCATAAATTTGGCAATTTATACAGGGTGTTCCGTCTAAATCCCACTTTAGAAGTATTGGGAGTTGCAATAATCGTATTTATTTGAAAATTGGTACATAGCCATAAACCATTAAGTCCTCCTAAATGAAAATGTTTTCAAGATGGCGGCACTTCCGCTTATACCGGAAGTCGGTCTCAACATTCTTATTTTAAATAAAAAGGTATATTTTTTACTGCGTTTTTAGATTAATTGGGTTATTTTAAGGGAATTTTCATCAGCTTTCCCTATACCTAATTTTAGCCGTTTTTGAAATATTTGGAGTTTTTCAAAAAATTTTGGATTTGCACCTAAAAACCGGTAACTCTACTATTTTTTTAAATTTCTTTTGAATTCCTTTTTTTGGCGTTTGAAAGAGAAAGTTTAGATCTTTCTTTCGGTGTTTTAAAATTTTGAAAAAAAATTAACAAACCATAAAATTTTAAGGTTACTTTTGTAATAATTCAAATACCCATAACTCAATTTTTTCAAATAAAATACCCCAATTTTTTTTATACTAAATGGAGGAGAATTTAATTCTGTATCGATCTGTATTAACATTCCCTATACCTAAATTTAATAATTTTTAAGTTATGGTGACTTTTTGTTCAGACTGCCGAAAATTTGTTATTAGCCACATTCGTTTTCGTATAGTTTGCTATGGAAATAAAAAATGTCAAAATTGTTTCTCAATAAATGTCGACAGTGACTTATTATTTGACAAATAGTGCCAAAATATAGAGAGTCAAAGCTACTCAAACTTAGCTTTAATTAATTTATTTTGTATTTAAGGAGAGTGTAACAAAATTATGATATCGTTCATTAAACAAAAATAAACTTTTCTCACTTGTTAGCTTTAAATAATGATTGCATGGTAGAACCTATCAAAAATAATTAAGTTTGCATAACTTTGATCCTCCATATTTTGGCACTATTTGGCAAATAATAAGTCACTGTCGACGTTTACTGAGAAACAATTTTGACATTTTTGATTTCCATAGCAAGCTATGTGAAAACGGGTATGGCTAGTAATAAATTTTCTGTAGTATTAAAAAAAGTCCATAACATGAAAATTATTAAATTTAGGTATAGGGAATGTTAATACAGATCAATGCACAATTAAATTCTCTTCTATTTAGTAAAATAAAAATTGGGGTATTTCATTTGAAAAAATTGAGTTATGAGTATTTGAATTATTACAAAAGTAACCTTAAAATTTTGGGATATGTTATTTTTTTTTTAAATTTGAAAACACCAGAAAAAGGATCTAAGCTTTCTCTTTCAAACGCCAAAAAAAGGAATTTAAAATCTAATAAAATGGCAGAGATACCGGTTTTTAAAGTGGAAGGTGCAAATCCAAAATTTTTTGAAAAACTCCAAATATTTCAAAAACGGCTAAATTTAGGTATAGGGAAAGCTGATGAAAACTCCCTTAAAATAACCTGATTAATCTAAAAACGCAGTAAAAAATATACCTTTCCATTTAAAATAAGAAAGTTGAGACCGACTTCCGGTATAACCGGAAGTGCCGCCATCTTGAAAATATTTTTATTTAGGAGGACTTAATGGTTTATGGCTATGTACCAATTTTCAAATAAATACAATTATTCCAACTCCCAATACTTCTAAAGTGGGGTTTAGACGGAACAGCCTGTATATTAATTTAATGTTAAAGTGATAATGCAGATTTGTAAAGAAACAATCTCGAAAAATAGCAGAATATTAAAATTATTTTTTTTTTTATGAAAGACCAAAAACAAATTTCTGTTACGGACCATCTCTTCCTACAAACCTTTGAAACGTGCCTGTCCTAAGAAATGCAAATTTGTTTATGGTATCTCTACCGCAAGCCCCCTGAACCACCGTGGGGGGTAATCGTCTTATTCTATAGTGAGTCTTAAATATTGTTGGTACCAACTATATCATAACATAATTGCGGCAAAACTTGACTTCAAACGTCATAACGGTTTTATGCATACATACTATGTAAAGTGTTCCAAGAAATCGATTGGCGTCGAGAAAATTGCAAAATTCTTGATCGTTTAGGAGTTACAGTTGAATTAATATTTTGGATATTTTTGAATTTATCAGTAATTTTCTCGATAACTATTTAATGTAGGACAATTATCTTTTTTTATACTAGAAAATTAAATTTGCTTCCCAACGGTACCAAACAAAAAGGACTAGCATCAATAATTACGAAATTATGAGCAATAAATCGCTCCGGATACCGAAAATCGCCCATTTCGAGAACAATCGAAAAAATTAAAAACCTCAAAATTGATCCATTTGCACTCAATTGCATACAATTAAAGGAATATTTTTTTAAATACTTATTATTATCACTAATAATTCAAATACATGTAAAAGATAAGAGCACCAGAGCTTTAAAACAGTATAATATAAATTATAAAAAAAATAAAAACTCATTATTTTGTATATTTCGGCTAAAGTGTATTGAACAATGTTTAAGGTTTTAATTAAGTCCATACCACATCGTGTTTTATGAAATGACGTTTAAATAAGTGCCCGAATTTTTTTACTTAGGTAAACCCCCTCCCCTAAACTCTATCTCTGGCTGCGCTATTGCATATTATAATAGTGTTATACCTAGATACGATATGTAGTCTTAAGCTTACTTTCAATAATTCAGCAATTTTATGTTTTTATTCCTACATTTTTACGTTCTGCATTATTACGACTTCCTAGGTGCTTCAATTTTTATGTTTTTATTGTATTGTCATTCTTAATTACTAATATTATGATTTAAGACATTTTTATTTTCAGATTCGTTTAAATTTTGCGTTCTTACGTTTACGTTTTTACACATTCCCTCAGGATAGGTGTGTCATTTCCATTTCGGTGTGACAAAATTTACATAATGTTATATTATTAAAACAATTAAGTATGTATTAATTTTTCTTTCAATATTTCAAATCATTCTCGTAATATCATTCATGTTACGTTTATCTTTTTATGTTTTAACGGTCTTAAGTTGGATATTACATTTTTCAATGATTACGTGCTATTTTCTTAAATTTAAGAATCATGCCTCGTAACTCACATTGTAGATATAAAATTTTGACGCGTCAAAGAACTAATCCGCTAACCCATTTTTTTTTAATCGAAATACGTAATAAAACAAAATAATCACTTTGAAAGCAAATTTATTAATAATATGCGGAAGCGTTAGAGCGGTTACATAATAAAGATCAAACACAATTCACTTATTATAAAACTAATCACGACTGCGTGGCTTGACAACCCGATTACTAAACTGGATCACCACATCTTGCACCCTCATATTGGGGGTCAAAAATTGCTGAAGGGTGTCAACCCCATCCCTCGGCATTCTATCAAACGGATAACCCATGGAGCGCCGATCCGGATACAACTTATCTTTGATTCCACAAAAAGTGTCACCATCATTGCACGTACCTGACGTATCTTGTTCAACCTAAATAAAATTTTAAAATAACAAAAATTTCGATAACGAATTCATGTCACTCACCCTATCATCTGCGTAGTTCGAAATCATAACAAATAACTGACACAAATAGCCAGCTTCGGTGCCTTTCGGCAACAACATGTGTTGGGGCCATCCGCAACCACAGAAATTAAATTGGGATAAGGCGTCCCCACCAGTGGGGCGATTCACGTCCAAATTACGGAAAGTACGCTCGAAAGGGATGGTGAGGGAGGACTCAGTTGAGTGGCGAGTGATCGTATTTGCCCCTTGTTTCACTAAAAATAATCGTTAGAAATGGAAAACTTGAAATGGTAAATTACAGGAAACTGCAAAACGGTCAAGTTCGATAAACATGTCTTTTTGGTTCCTGAACAGCCAGGGATTTCCCCTTTCGTCGAATTTCGGCGCTAGGAAAATTCGACATGTCCCCATCCGGTTATTCCCCGAGTTGTTGACTGTGATTTTATAAGTGAAATCCTGGTTTTGCAAGTGGGTGAAACGGACGAAAACGGAACCTCGGGGCTGGAAATCTAAGCCTCGAGACAAATCCAAGTCGGATTGTTGCCAAAATGTGCTAAGTATATTTGGCCTTCCCCCTTTAGCTTGCACCTCAATGCTGTTAACAGTGACTCCAGGATAATTCAGCTTGAATTTTTAATTAGTTGTGTTTAGTTCCGCCATGTGACACTTACTTGAGCCACGGTGTATCGCGGAAGTGTGGCTTTAAACTCCTGGAACATGTCATCAATGTAGGCGTGCCAACGGAAAAAAAGCGGATCACGTAAATCGACTGCGGGGTCAGCCATGACTCCGAACGGCTCCTGTAGTAAATTTTGTTCAGTCTGCGGTCCACATCAAAAACTTACCAAAAATCTGTGGTCAGGGTCATGAATATAGCCAATTAGGATGTGTCCCATGTTGTGAAAATCGCCATAATAGTTGCGATTGGGTGACAAAATGCTCGATTCGATGATATTCCCCAAGACATCGATTCCCTCGAATTCAGTCAAAGGAATATTTTGACCGTTCTCCCCTCGAACCATTCCCGAATGAATGGCATCATAAATCCTGTCTCTCCACCGATCCAAATCATCCAGACTTAAGCGAATTTGGTCAACTTCTCGGTTAAGGTCCCGTGGGAGTTGGTTAACGGGTCTTGCCGGCCACGTCCTACTAGACACAAGACTGTCCAGTTTTGGGAAATAGGCCTCTGGGAGGGGCTCTCGCCAGTTACTCAGTTTCACCACCCTTTTTAAACCATTGCAAAGTCGCTCAATATTGAACCGAGCGATGATCTGTTGGTGCATGTAGTAGAAAATTTCACCTCGGCGATTTTTATCGACGATTTCACGGGCCCCTTCAAAGGGATACACCAGATGCCAGTGCCAATGGTGGAGATTAAGCCCGATGTCTTCACGCCAGTAAGCCACTCGATGCTCTTCATCTAAATCAGAAGCCGTGAAGTCTTGTGGAATTTCAATCGGGGTCTAGAATTCACAATTTAATAAAAAATCGCAAGAAATTGTTCACTGACCCTTGAGCCTTCTGGGACAATGTGGGCCTCCTCTCTGGCCCTTGCAAACACCTGACTATCGACATACTTATCCGGAAACACGTGAATAAAAGACGGGAGGTCCAAATTTTGAGTGTCAGGTCGGTGCAAAAGGGCCACTGAAAACGCATAGTAAAACAAATAAGGATTTACCCTATCCCTGCAGAAAACAGCGTTGGATAACAGATCATCGATTGATTCCGCTGCTAGGAAAATCCGGATGAGTTTTCCGGCAACTTTGCGATGTTTGGGGACAAAAAGTGAAAAGTTTTCGTGACGACCGAGATCGAGGACTCCCTCTAAATCGGGAGGGGTGATGTTTTTCAGTGGAATTTTCTCGTTGGCCTGTTCGCCGAAACGGTTGGCGATTTGCACCCCAATCGGCTTGTATCTCTCCGGCTAATAAATTATCTAATAAATTGAGGAGGATTTTGTTATAACTTACAAGAAAGTTGTTAGGGACGTCGAAGACCTCCTTGTTGCCTTTGGGCATAAAGGAGGGTTCTTGGGGACGATCGAAGAGTAACAGAAGTTTGCTCTTGTCTGTCATAGTGAAATCGGAGAAAAACTGAAGAATTTTCGTAAAGAAAGGTTTAAATAAATGTCGCCGGCCAATTGGAATGAGTTATTTCGGCCATCGACCAATTGAAATTAAGCGCTTTCAAGGGATGTGGTTTCGATTAAAGCAGATACTTAAAAATTCGGAGAATTTTTGGGGTTTTGTCCACAGGTATCTCATATTGGTGTAGGAATCTCCATTTTGGTCACCACAACAGGACTTCCGTGGGTTCCGTTGTAAACACACACGGGAAACGTCTAATTCAGTTCCGTCTAGGACTGACTTTGATAAAATAGATTTTAATTTTAGCTTTATTTAAATCAGTTTATTGAAGAGGAAATATTATTTTATTTCTAAAAGAAATTCAAATAAGCAAATTTTCGGTTTGACTTTATAAATTAACCTTTATCATACTTTTTTTAATCGTATTTTCTCATTATTTTTTCGAAATTTGAATTATTTTATTAAATTAAAAGAATTTTGTTAATAAATGAAACACTTCTATGTAATAAATTATCTATTTCATCATTTATTAAAGTTACATACATAACTATTATAAAACAAAGGCACACTGTACACACAAAAACAACAAAAATATTAAATTTAACAAAAATAAAACCCATTTATCTTTAATAAATAGCTTCGGTTAGATAAAATAAACACCGCAATAAAATGAATGGAAACAAAAAAGGATTTACGTAAGGTTAGTTAAATAAAATAGATAAAGCCCGAATATATTGACATATTTAACAAAAGAAGAGTTTGGGTTAAAAGAAATTAAGGTAAATTTTCAGTCTTGTCACTCTTCAATGACAAAAAAATATTTAGATTCAATTACGTCTAATCAAAACTTTATACATTTTTGATTTCAGAATTTAGCAAAATATATTTAAGCGGCAATTCATCTATCCATTCACTAAGTTAAGAAGTTTGTAAGTATATTCCATTTGTTGCCTATTTAACTGTACAATCTGAACTAAGAACCTCAACTCATTTCCACCGCAGAAATTATATAAATGCACTATACACGTAACCTAAAACAAAATTTAGTTTTTACAAATATTTATATGTATATAAAAAATATTCCGTATTAATATCATCCAACATCTGAAAAAATAGAATTTCGTTTTGACTATTAAAACTCGAAAAAATTAAAATTTCGTAATATTTCCTAATTATTTGTACCATAACACTCTGGTGTTACGTTCCTTGGCACTAAAGTCACTACCACATGTCTCTACCCCCGGGTGGAGGGGTCGTGTCCTGCAAAACGATATATAAAAAAAAACATCAGACGGCGCCACTTGTACCCACCTGAGTTTGTTCTAAATGAGATCGTTGCGGAATAAAGGGATTATAGGCTACTTGAGCCGGGGGCGACGCCCCCAATTCGCTAAAACTTGACAATTGTTGGGTGAGCGCCATTGTTCCTTCTTCCACAACCGTGACTATGACCCACATGGGATCTAAAGGAATGTAGATAAAATTTTGGGATAAAATAAAAATTGTGGATATTACCCCCGAAATAAGCCCCCTTTTCGGTACACAGCCTCCATTTGCTTTGATACACGCCTGGCGATGGAGGACTGGTCATCCGGACGGTCAAATGGGTGTCTTCTGAGGGTTTTAGAGCCGGGACTGGGACTCTGCCCCCGTTCAAATTATTACCGTCTGAACATTGAGCGTAACAACCTTGGGGCCACTGTTCTGTACCGTTATTAAACATATGCCATACTTTTTGAAAACTTGAAGCAAATAATTAGAAGAAATCAGTAAGTTTGATGGTCTACCTTGTATTTGGTTCTATACTTTCAGATTCGCTAGCTACTGGATTTTGTACAAGGGCCATTGATGGTAATTTTGTTGACGATTCGATATCCAGATAGGAACAAACAGCAGCTTGAAGATTCCTTCAATGTGAAACTATAATCATGTTGGTTTAAAAAATTTAAAATTACCAATTGTTCATATCCAGGAAAAACGCAGCCGTCGAATAGTTTAAACTACTCCCTAGTAACTTTTGCAATTGTTGTACCAATTCATCCTTATCAGTTGTACCCATACAACTGAACTGTTGCAATAATGACTGTTCAATTTCCATTGTTCCATTTCCAGAACCCTCTGAAGGGCCGTTATCAATGTCCATTTTTTAAAAATTAAAGACAACCCCGAAAAACCTCTATAATATTTCACAATTATCCCCCGAGTTGGTTATTTACAAAAGAAAAAATTGTCACAGTAAAGTCATGACACTTGGACATAACCTTCACGATTTGATTTGATTTGCAAAAGAGACGTTGAAGGACATTGTGCATAAATTTCCGTTTTTAATATTTGCACCCAATTACTTACGATTACGTAAATTGACTACTTACATACAAAACACTTTATTTTTAAAATCACATGAAATTTGACAATTAGTTCATCAAAAATGACATCTGACCACCATTTTAAGAATGGTAAACAACCAATCAAAAAGTGGAAATTCTACTAATCAGGCAAGATGCTGCCCTCTTTTATAAACACTACAGATCTCTGTAACGAAATCATTTTGTTCAAAATTATTTGTGGTAGTAAAAAAAGGTTATATTTCTTATCCATATTTAAAAAATAATACTAATAATGCAAATAAATTTTAGGAAATTTCTAAATCTTTTAATGCGCATGCGCGGAGTATAATTGAGGGGGCTGCATTGGCGCCACAAGCAAATGCAGGGTTAGTCGTAAGTGATTTTCCCTATAAACCATTCCAAAAATACTAAACAATTAATTAAAGTGATTTTTTTCAAAAATTTTAATTAAAAACATTGTTGGTAGTTAAGCCGTGCTGAAAACCCACTCCAGGTATGAATTTCTCATTTTCAGTTCATTTATTTTTATTGTTTATTATTCGTAAACATAAACAATTATGAACTGACAAATAATTCAATAAAAAGTTGTGGAAACATGTTATTTTCCAAATAAAAGTTGTCTTAGGTGGTAACTGGTATCGCGAGTTTTTCAATAATTTTTTGGAAAAATTAATTTTTCAGAAACTAAATTAAAATTGTGAATTTTTTTAATGCGAATCTCAGTATGCTAGTGTCATTTTAATTAAAAACCCCCTAAGAAGTCTTTCGGCTTGTAAAAAATAAGCCAAAATGAACAGTAACAATCTGATTATTCGAAGTGTTGTTCAGTGCAAAACTCCTTTACTTGAAATGAAATCAATCGAAGAGCCCCCTAGGAAATGTCAAAAAATTATTCACGGTTACGCTCTACCCCAAATTGCCATCAAAAGCGAGGAAAAAAATTCTAGTAAATCGTATAATGAGGTATGCTCCGTTTCCTTATTTCCTTTATGTTGAGTAAAAATGATGTTTAAAATTGTGAAAAAAAGCGGGCTCAACCGGGATTTGAACCCGGGACCTCTCGCACCCAAAGCGAGAATCATACCCCTAGACCATTGAGCCGTGTTCTATAAATTTCCAAACGCAGTATATGTCTTGTAGGTGTTACTCGTAAATGGATGTTGGGATACATCAAACAGGATCCCTAATATCGTCGCCGAAATGCATAATATACACAGTGAAGAAATCAAAGCGCTACAGACCTGTTCGTTTAATGAATCGCGCGATTTCCTCAATCCTAGTCCCAGGGGATCGGACAGTGGCATCGAGTCGGACTGCACCGATGGAAATCTTTCATGGCTTTTGAATTATAGAATTCATGAATTGCCGCCGGTGCCAGGTAAGGACTTTTTTCCATCATCTGTGAAAAGATTTTTGCACGAGAAATAACCGAACTGCTGTTTATTTATTATAATTTTCACCTGTTTTATTGGGGATCGCTTAGAAATGCTACAGTCATATTTTTCATTTTATGTCAAGTGGGTTGTTACGATTTTGAACAATAATTTGCAATTAACAATCTTTTTCACTTGTTAACAAAAAATATGCAATATGAAGAAAGATATTGGTTTGAATTTTGCTTTTTTACAGACCACAACTGTTTCTGGCAGCGTAATTTTTACCTGCCAGATTTCTTATTTTTGGGCAATTTACTTTGTTATTTTTTTAAGTTTTTTATAATTTCAGAAATTTTAGTGTATATTTATTGCTGTCTCAACAATAATTTGCAAACATAAACATAAATAATTAAATTAAATTAAAGAAAGTCTTTATTTTTACACAAGCTGAATTTTTAAATTATTTTTAGCAAAATTTGAAGTTGATCATTTGATGCTAAGGGATTATACAGGGTGAACAAGGAATTGAGCAAAGCGGTTTTATTTTAATCATTTTCCTTCAGAAAATAAAAATTACTGAAAACTAATAAAATTAAAATGTGATCGTGTTTTAAGAATTAAATTTTGTTTCGTCTTTGAGTTTTGCGATTTTTTTTAATGGCAAAATTTTTAGAAATGAAATATAATAAAATTACAAAATAATAGTTGAAAATTTGTGCATATTGGCTTGTCTCAAAAATAAGAATGTTTTTCTACTACATAGTTTTCATAATAAAACTAAATAACTGGACATTTTTTGAAATGTTATGTAAAAAAAAAAAATTTACAAAATGTTTTGCACAACTTTGCCAAAATAAGCGATATTTCCAATGCATTTTTTTTAAATAATCTGTGAGGTGAGGTAAACCTGTATTATACAGCGTGTTTTAAAATGGTTTTCATCTAGTCGCGTATGGAATTTCTTTACATGTAAGTTTTTCTGTGCCGCTCTACTCTTTTTGAAGCAGATAGTTCTGTCAACAGTGACAGACGTCAATTAAATAAATTAACATTTGCGTTTAATTAGATTCAATATTTTTTAAAGTGGCCTTTTTATTTTGCATGGAAATTCCATAGGCGACTAGATGAAAATCGTTTAAAACACGCTGTATTGTATCACACAGTAGAGAAGAGTTTTGTTTTATAGCAGAGCTGTTTAATGTTTATTACCAGAAATGAGTAGCATCGAGAGAAATAATAAATGCGATCTATAAAAATCTTCTCTACTGTGTTTTTATAATATTTTTTCACTACTAGTACTTTGTTTATTGCAGTGAAATACAACGAAATTAATTACTTACCTGAGTTATTAACTGAAGTTGAAATTATTTACTATTTCAACATGAAATAAGCCTATTTATTGTTTTGAAAAAGACAAAAGGATTAGAGGTGGGATTATTCTGACGTTTTTTAGTGGGGAAGTTTATGGCTTTTTTATTTATTTCGAAATACCTACTTCCGTTACCCAATACTTGTGATGATGATAACAGTTTTAAATAATAATACAAGATAGGTATAATTTGTATTAATTCAATATTGGTACAGAGTGGTTATAAATGATTTTCATCTAGCCAGCTGTGAATTTCCTATGTAAAAGAAAAAATGCCGCTTTACGAAAATAGGGGTACCTACTTGTTTTAACTCAAAATCAAAAAATCGCCGTTTACTAAGCGTCCACTTCGAAAATAGACTTCAATTATAAACTTGATTTCTTCTAAAGTATAGGTACATCATTATCAGTTATTATTGGAAATTAGTTGAAACAATAAAAGTTCAATTAACAACAATTTATAATTAATTAATAAGTGACACTAATGACAGAACTAGAGTTTTCAAAAAAGTAGAGCGGCACAAATAAAGTTACATGCAAAAAAATTCCAAAGCTGGCTAGATGAAAATCATTTATAACCACTCTGTATAACCCACCTCTAATGAACTATTGAGTAAAAAAAAAGAGTTTTACGTTAAATGAGCCAAATTTCAAAATTCTATAAAACGTATTAATTAATTGAATTTTCTACAATAAACAAATATGGTAAAAAATAATTAATTTCCAGATACGTCAACATCAGAAACTTTAAATTATCACATATCGAATACTCCAGACATAATAATAAGAACAGGGAATTCTAACGAAGTATTATCAAGCGAGGTACGCAGTTCTGACCTTAAACCATTCAAATTGAACAAATAGGTATTTTTTGTTCAGTTATCAAGACTAGTCGGTGCAAAAACCCCCCTCCGAGACTCTTATAGCCCCAAAAACCAGTCATACCGTTACGCCGGGCCAAAAAAGCCCCCTTTCACCTACACGGAACTCATCGAGCACGCTTTGAGCGAAAAGGGCGAATTGACGGTATCGGGGATCTACCAATGGATATCGTAAGTACCCCCAAATCCAATTTCCTCCCCCTAAACGATCAGTTGCGTGACTTGAGGTAAACGTTGACAAATTTGCATGTGGCAAATCAGCGTTGTAAAGTAAATTTGTAGAGATCAAGCAACGTTTATGAATTGTTCCTCGAAGATCGTCGATAAATCGTGCCTGGTACGGACCTGCAACCTGCAAAGTCCCATCCCTCGCTTCACCTGTCGGTTTGAGGGGGGACGAAGTTCATTTTCGACAATTAGAATGCTTAAATTGCCGATACGGTTCACTGGATTTATACAGGGGGCGAAATGTTTAATTAGTTTTTACGATAAGTAAGAAAAAAAAAATGTCACAAACACTTTGATTACAAATAGTTTGAATGTTATTTACAAGCATCGGTGGTTCAGTGGTAGAATGCTCGCCTGCCACGCGGGCGGCCCGGGTTCGATTCCCGGCCGATGCAAGACTTTTTTTCCGTTTTTTTATTAAATCAAACTCGATCACAACAAAGCAGGGTGTGGGACTCAGCCCTTGATCAATTACGGTAATTGTGCCTATTATCAGGACGTGTGGAAGGTTACGGTCGGTTGATCACAGGTGTACCAAAATCGGATCTATTGTTTGGAATAATTTTCCCAGACACGTGCCTTCTAAAGTCGCGGGAAATTCGTGCCAGGCACTCGCTAGACATCCTCTCGACTCGATTTATGTGTCGTGGAACATGAAATAATCATATTTGGGATTTTTCAGAGAGCATTTTCCCTTCTATAAACAAAATGATGATCGTTGGAAAAACTCGGTCCGGCATAATCTCTCCATAAATCCGCATTTCCGGAAAGGGAGCAAAGCGGTACATGGAGCGGGTCATTTATGGACCATTGCCCAAAAGGACGATAAGAAAACATGGCAAATTGTAAGGTTTTGGGTTTGTGAAAAATTCGATAATTGATTTTGATTTGCGCTAGAAGAAACAGAGAATGCAGCAGTTCATCCAAGCCACCTATAAAGAGAATAGGAGTTCGGAGCAAGAGGTGTTGGATATGGAATTGCAAGCGGCCACTGCGAGTATTTTGGGAGAATCGTTCAACGAATTTGATCCAAATGTAAGCCTCACAATTTTTTTATACCTTTGTTTTTTATTAAAAAAATTCCAGGATGATAATGACAGGAAACAAAACATCGAAGTCGAGTTTATTAACGTCGTTGATATCCAAAACGGACTCGAAGGTAATAAAATCTGGTCACTAAACTTGTCTCTTTTCCTAATCACAATCAATGAATCCAATCGTGCGTCTTTGGCTTCATTGAACCTAACATTCTCACTCTACTAACACAACTTTGACTTCTTATTGCATGCCAAGTTTTACTAGGTATGTGTACAATAAAATAAAAAATGAGGTAATTTTTAATACAACACCGATTTGGTTTCTATTCTACAGATTTCCTTTCTCCTCCAGTATCCAAACAACAGATCGTTCAAGAATGTGGTTTGGGTAACGATTTTTTGATCACGGATTTGAATCCCAACGCTTTGGGCCTAAATTTAACCGAAGGTGAAGTCATCAACGATGGGAGTTTTTACGATGATATTTCATTCGAATACTATGAACTTGAAAAAGAATAGACTGGCTTAAATTAGGATTTTCGGTTAGAATGTTTTAAGTGTACTTTGCTGTCAGGTTTTGATAGCGTTTTATCTAGTCCGTCCAGTGAATTAATGAGATTTATTGAAAATAATTGTAATTATTTTTATACAATCATTGCAATGATTGATTCTCTAGCATGTATTCTTTCAGAAATAAAAAAATATTCCGTAATTTTAAAACGAGTTTTATTTTCCATTACAAAACGTACGTATGTATGTACAAAAATACAATTGACGCGGTATAAGTTGTTGAAGTCCGGCGCATGCCGAGGAAGTAACTCGGCAAACCTCGGTACGTTTGAATTCAAGTTGCGAGAAACAGTGACGTAGCCTTAAACACATTTTGGTTTGAATTCCACATTTTCACTTTGAAAAAGTGCTCTGTAATTGCAATCAAATTTTAATTCGCGATTAATTTGATGTTTGAAAAAGTAAAGCAACTAACAACTTAATTCGGATTTGTTAAGTCCTGAATTAATTTTGTTTTGCCTTTTCAAAATCAACTAATAGAAAATTCAAATTTCATTGTCACCTTTAAACAATAGTGAATTTTTGGTAAAAGTTCATGTTGGGATGCATCAAGACGCTATCCCGTAGCCAATCAGATGCCAGTATCTTGACGTCATTTCAGACGAATCGGAACGATGTTTAATCGTACAATTGTAAAGGGCACAAAAAAGTGAACGTGAAATTGTGTTTGTCACAATGTGAAGTGCGTGAATTTGTGATTTTTGAGTGCAACAGTAAGTATTTATTAAATTATGAATAGAAATTAATTGTGTTTTTGATAAAATATTCATTTCTCAATGATAAAATTTAGACTTTTTATGTTTTAAGGAAACAGCAAGAACAATTCTAAGTATTGTACGGATATAATTTTTTCCAGAATAGATTTCACATTTTCATTTTGAAAAAGTATTTACAGAGCTTTCTTGCAATCAAATTTTAGTTCGCGACTAATTTGATGTTTGACAATTTAAAGTAACTGACAACTTAAATCGGATTACTTTAATCTTAAATAAATTTTACTTTGCTTTTTTTTTAAATCGATTTATGGCAAATAAAACTTTATCGAAATTAAAGATTTTGTAAATTGTCCCAGTAAAAGCAACTGATTATGCGACGCCACTGGAAAATGTTGATGTTCCCGCGTATAAAACAGCATGCGCATTGGTTTAATTAACATGATTTTAAACATAAAGAAGTGAAATCAGTTGAATATGTATTTCTTACGCAATTGCAATTTGGGTTTTAATGGCGGAAATGAGTTTTGAAAATGACACTTTTTTATGCGAACTTATAAGTAAATAAAAAATAAAATAATTATCAAACGTTTACTTGAATCATTTATAAAAATTTGAATACATTTCATAATAAAGTCCTACAAAAATAGTAATTTATAATGAAATAATTGCGCAATCACCAACAATACATACGAGTATAACAAAAAAATCACTACAGCAAACGGCGCGATTTGCTTACTTCTGACAAGTAGAAAAGTCTAATATTTCTACCGTGTTAGCCCAAATTTAAGTGTTAATTATGAAAAATTTATTTAAAGACTGCTTTGGAAACGATGTATTTTCTTCCATTTTCATGCAAATAAACTTCAGGAGGTAAAAACTGTCATAGATTTACTCAAATTTTCATTAATAAAAATGTAATACAAACTTATAACTAATTTGTAACAAAATAACACATTTTGTGAGATTCGATAAAATGGACGGAATTTAGCCAGACCCCAATTAGGCTTATAAGATATTCAATAATAGAAAAATGATACCCCCTGCAAGGACCCCTAATGATGGGTATATTGTGAGACCACCATTACACCTATGGTCAAGGAAGCAAAAGCACCACGTGGTCTTGTCATAATAATTCCTGAAATATACAGTTTTAATCTACAAATCTAAAAAATTACCCACATACCTGTGGACATCTAATTCTTTAATAGAATTATTCACATAATGTCCCAATTTCACATCAACAGCGGCAGGCCTACACCCCTCGTAATGATCGGCAGGGATGTCGGTACGTACCCCTTGCAAATAACTGAGACAATCCCGTGTTATCATTGTATTACCTAAGAAAACGTAAAAGTGACTCATAACAATAACTTAACCTAGTGTACCATCTTTTTCTTCTATTATTTTAACACAAACGTCGTCGTCTTCGGGACAAACTTTCGTCCAGTGCCACAACCAGTTAAAAGGGGTACCACACCCCGGCTGATTCGAGACACATTGGTAACACCAAAGCGCCGAGGCTGAAATTAGGGGATTACCACACCCATTTTATAATTTAGAGTTTTACATTTCTAACCTTGCAAGAAAAGTGTCCCGAATATGTAGCAAGTTAGTACTTTGTACATTTTTGTGTATTTTATTCTATAAGGCACAATTTTTTTTAAATATTATTGTTTTGAACGTTAGTAAACATAACCTAACCACTATAACGAGAAAAGGGAAACGTCACCGCCAGATAGCGTCCTCATAACTTGTCACAAATTTGTCAAATGGCGGGTTTTACAAAACGCGAGAAAATTTTACTGAGAGATTTCAGTAAAGACGTGACATGGACAAGTTTATTCGTTTTTTATTTAAATGGGGTGTTTATGTCGCTGTTACCGGTCTGGATTTTCCAGCAAATGACGTGGATTGAATCATGCCTCACCCCAGTGGTTTTTTTGATTGGTCCTGTGTGTACTTACCTCCTCAAATCGGCTTATTGTAACACTGGGATCAAGTTCAAGCATATAATTGCAACAAAGAGGCAACAACGGAAGAAAAAACGTAACAGCAAGGAAAATAGGGACGACTATGAAGCCACTGTTGGCTCAATTTTCTTCAATAACAGTCTATTTGTGTCAGTTGTTGTTTTCTCAAATTTCATTTGTTTGCGACGTTTTGCACCCTTATTGGGTTTATTTTTGTCAACTGTCGTAAGTAGTGCACTTGTGGCATTAGTTTCAGTTTTGTAAAACTTTAATCGTCGTCTGCCTTGATTGACAGTAATAAAAGTCTGGGCAATGCCAAAATTGGGGGAGCGACGAGTCCGCGCTCCAATGGAATCTGTATATTTTGGTTTGAAACCTTGATAAATTTTTGTATACAAAAATTTACTTTTGTGTTTTATGGGTTGTATAATAATTTTTTTGTTGATTGTAATTTTTTCTAAGAACTAGATCAAAAACATCAAAAAATTAAAACATTTTATACGCAAATATAATTTTATTTATTTAAAAAAATTAAGATTTAGATTTGGGTTAGATAGTTATTTTTATTCTTTACAAATTTACAAGAGCATTAACATATTACAATAACTCTTTATTTCTTCAATACTTTAAAATACTTCAAAATTTGCTCAAGAAAAAATTATAGCCCTTGGTTCTAAGTCTTTTGCATCTGACTCAATTTTTACTACACAATGTTGACCTTTACTGTAATTGTTAATTTTTTCCTGAGTAGTATAAAGGCCCCTTCAGCACACAGCACTTTTTAAGGTAAAACACCCCGATTTTCAAGGGTTAACAGAAAAGTGCAAAAAATCGTGAAAACACCCTGATTTTCAAGGGTAAACAGAAAAGCGTAAAAAATCGTGAAAACACCCTGATGTTAAAGCCAACGTAAACCCATTTTTGAAACTCGATAATTAATGAATACAAACCCGCTTCGTTAATAAATAATATTTTGACATCAATTTTCTGGACGGGGTATTTCACCCAGTCTGGAAAATCTACCAATTTAAGAAAAAACAACCTAATTTTTAAGGTAACTCAAAAAGTGAAAGGCCCCTATGCACACAGCTACTTTTAAGGTAAAACACCCCGATTTTCAAGGGTAAACAGAAAAGCAGAAAAAAATCGTGAAAACTCCCCGACTTTTCAATGGTAAACAGAAAAGCAGAAAAAAATCGTGAAAACTCCCCGATTTTCAAGGTAGTTCAAAAAGTCTAAAATTTTAAGGAAAAACTCCCCGGTTTTAAGGTATATTTTAAATATGAATAATTTTATATATAAATATTTATATATAAATAAGCAAATATGAATATCATAGATGAAAAGATTTATTTGGAAATGAAGTAGACGAGGTTTTACCGAATTTTTAATTAAATAAATGAATGATTATAAAGTATATTTATCACCCAATCAAATAAAGAAACTCCAAAGTTGTAAAGAAATAAGAATAGATTGTAATATAAGATTCGATTTAACAGAAAGACCTAATAATACTATTAAATAAAGAGAAAATCAGATTGATGAAATTAAAGTGTAAAAAAGACAAGAAAAAATATTGTGATATCAAATTTTCTCCAACACAGATAGGTGGATTTTTACCTGCTTTAATTCCTGCGGCATTAGCTGTAGCCAAAGCATTGGGATTAGGTGCTGCTGGTTATGCTGGTACTAAATTAGCACAAAAAGCCTTTGGAGATGGTATAAAAAAGGATAAAAAAAACACAAAAAAGACGAAGACATATGAACAAGGAATAAAATAGGAAATCGGGTTTAAGTAATATAGAAATATCTGATATTATGAAAAATTCGGATTTGCCTCATGAAGCTACGCAAAATTTTCGAGGTGTTTTTGCAATTGACATGTTACCAAAAAGAAATTAGAAAAGATGAATCAGGTATAATTAATTTTCAACCCTCTAATTATTATGGCTCACACTGGGTATGTTACATAAACAAACCATATTTAAGAAATATTTTATATTTTGACAGTTTTGGAATATCTCCACCAGAAAAAATTAAAAAATATTTATTAAGTAGCGGAAAAAATATTGCGTGGAATAGCACGCAGTTACAAATGAGTTCTTCTGTTTTATGTGGTCATTATATATATAATGCAAAGATTTTTATGATACATTATATTCTTTTAAACAGATACCGTGTCGTTTAAATGAGAAAACTACAATTTCAATATTTGAACGTAATTAAAAAATTATATATTATCTATATGTTATAAATGGAAAAATATCTACAAAAATGCTTGTATGTATACAGAAAAAGTTACATATATTTTTATAAAATTGGAATTGGATTATCTATTAGTAAATTATTATTTAGTGCGTCGGGATTATCTTCTACCTCCACTAGTTTGTTTATTTCTTGGCGCTGGGGTAATAGAAATCTTAGATAAGAGGTTAAAAATATCAGAAAGAATTGAAGAATATAAGTTGATTTATAAATTTTATAGACAGTTATTGCATTTATATAAGGCTGATAAAATAAATGAAAAAGAAATAAATTTACGTGAAGAGGAATTTGTCAGTAATTTTAATTATTTTCCCAGAGAGAAATACCTAGAAAAAGTCCACTTAAACCGAAATTAAATTATTTGATTTAAAGGTTGATAAGTGCTATATGAAATGCTATAAGTGAACACGTAAATACTGATTTTAAAAGAAAATTGGTAGATTTTCCAGACGGCGTGAATCGCGACGTCCACAAAATTGACGTCAAAACAGTATTCAAAAGATAAGAAGATATGGCGAATATAATTATTTTTGAAGATATTCCAATTATTTAATTTGATATTTACTCTAATAAATGAAATATATTATTTTTTTCTTATTTCTTACTACTGTAAAAAGTTCAGATGATATTAATATTATAACCTCAGCGAAGCGTTACGATGAATCGAAGATTCAGAGTTATTTAGAACAATTTGGGTATTTAGAGAGTAATGGATCATTATTAACAGAAACGACTTTGACTAGTGCTTCGCATACCAATGAAGCATTAATAAGGTTTCAAGAATTCTATAATTTACCAGCTGATGGAACATTAAATCAAGAAACACTTGCTTTTATCAGTAAACCTAGATGTGGCGTTAAAGATAATCCAACAGCTTATAGAATTCATTATCAAAAATGGAATAAAACAAATCTTAAATGGTATTTTTTGTTAGCTACAAACGAGATCAAAGAATTAGCACAAAAAACCTTTGATCAGTGGGAATCTGTTTCAAATTTAAAGTTTGAGTACAATAGTATTAAACCAGATATACTTATATCATTTTCTAACACGATGTTTCAGCATAATCATAATTCACGTTGTCAAAAAGGAATATGTTCTAGCAGTTTTGACGGAAAAGGTAATGTCTTAGCACATGGCTTCTTTCCAAATAATAATGAATGTTTAGGAATTCATTTTGATAAATCAYAAAARTGGTATTTTGGTGAATCAAGCAATACACCTGATGKTGAAACTAATTTTTATACTGTTTTATTACACGAAATAGGACACACATTAGGTATTGAACATTCTGCAAATAATAATTCAATTATGTACGCCTATTATAAAGGTGATATTGATAAATTGACTCAAGACGATATGTGGGCAATTCAATATTTATATGGACGCCCTGAACGATTAAAATATGAATTAATACCAACAACAACAGTTAAACCTACTGTAAGCAAAGTCGGAGTAAAATATACTGTTGGTAATTCGTCTTCGACACACGACCCTATGGTGAATTTATGTGATTTTATTAAAGAAATTGACACATTTTTAATTGCAAATCATCATATGTATATTTTTTATAAAAAGTATGTTTGGTTAGTCAATTTAAAAGGTATGACTTATGATAAAGAACCGAAATTAATTAAAAATTATTTATATTTTTTGCCAGATGATTTTAAAGAAGTTTCGCATATTTATCAAAGACCTTCAGGTGATGTTTTAATAATTGTTAAAAATTTATATTATTTAATTGATTTTCCAAGTTTTAATGTTAAAAGTGGATACAATGGTCAATCTATTGAAAATTTAGGAATACCAAAAGGAAAAAGAATTGATGCGATATTTAGAACTTATTCTGGTAAAACATATATTTTATGATAAAGCTTTATATATTGAGTTTGATGAGTGTTTGTTTAGATCAAAGAAAAACGGTCTTATTTCAGAATTATTTGGTGGAATACCTCCAAATATAAACAGAGCATTCAGATATAGAAATTTATATTTCTTTAAAGATAAAATGTTTRACGAATTTGATGATATTTCGAATACATTAGTTAAATCTGATAAATTTGACTTSACAGTTTTTGGATTTAAATGTGSTCTTATCGATCAAATAATKAAACTAATTAATCGTCTGTGATTCTTATAATCGCGTTTTTTATCCTTCAAGAACGAGTTGGAAACTTTCCCAGTCGTCAGATCATCAATAAATCTCATAAATTCYAYCAAATTATTTGTAGAATTTTTAAAACTTGGTCATTTTCTGAAGCGTATACCGTTTGGGTATACACCGCATTTTCAAACTCATATGATTCTTTTAAATAAATTTTATCTATTTTTGASATTTTGACATAAGTAGTTCTATAATTATCCTAATCCTCTATTATTACTATAACACAGTAAAATCTTTGAAAAATGTTAATTTTAAAATATACCTTAAAAACGACGGTGTTTTCACGATTTTTTCTGCTTTTTTGTTTATCCTTGAAAATCGGGGTGTTTTCGTCCTTCATATCCCTTTTCGTGATTATTTGATGTTAAATATTATATGTTTAGAATAAAAACATAAAAGGAATTGCTAATTATCATAAATATTTAAACAATATTGTTTAATGATGACAACGAAATAGGTTGTAGTTTAAAATTTAAATGCTTTTTGAATTTACCGCCATGACTAAGTTGGCACTAGTTATGTTGTCAGTCTGTTTTCCCCTAGTTTTATTAATGACATTCTTTTRTTGATTTTTTATTTGATKGAAATTAGATTTTCTAGTTATYCGTATCCAAAAGCAAAAATCTCACACTCGGAATCGGAATCTCTGTTGTAAGTGAGTTTAATTGTATATAATCTCAAAGTACCACTTTTACTTAATTTCAGAGCYTGAAATATGCCCCCTAACGCTTTACATACGCAARATCTCATAAAATGCCCAAAAAGTGTCGACCCCACTRTRATAAATCCTGAGGGTTTCAAAGATTTTATTCCACCCAACGTCAGAGTAGCAGAGGTACGGGGTTCAACCCTTAAACAACAAAAAAAACCTTGTATATGGGAAATCACCGTCACACTTGAAGGAGGTTAGATCTTAAACATAAAATAAAGAGATCCTAACTTTCCATYTGTTTGTAGATGAAGCAGTTTATTYTGATAATGTAAAAAGGTATGATCTTCGATCAGACGTTGATAAGTACAAACCAAGGAATACAAATTTGTTACCAGAAAAAAAAGGCATTCGTAATGGAGAAACATACTGGATTTTTGAATATGAAGTCATTTGCAAGTGCGGGTTATCYCGGGTTTTTTAGACCCGTTGACGTGACTCGGTTTGATCTGAGTTGATTTATTGAAGGTTTAAAATTCAAAATATCGTGGACCGGTTTACAGAAAAAGTGATCACGATTAAGTTCCCACTTGATTTACATTAAAAATGTCAAGTTATCGCAATCAAATTTTCTGTAAACTGGCTCCATGTCTAAATGTCTTAATTACAATTTGATTAAAATGTTTGATTTGTAGAATTAGTTACTCTAGTATTTTAATTCAATTATATTGAGATTTGTCATTTAATTTATAGCTGTATTTAAATATTGTATTTTTTAATTAAAATTTCATTCAATGTATTCAAACCGTTTTCATTTTTGTGCTGAATGGCCCAATAGAAAAACTGGGTCAAATCTTTGAAAAATGTTAATTTCAAAATAAAACCTTAAACACGGGTGTTTTCACGATATTTTACGCTTTTCTGTTTAGCCTTGAAAATCGGGGGTGATTTTACGCTTTTCTGTTTAGCCTTGAAAATCAGGGCGTTTTCACGATTTTTTTTGCTTTTCTGTTTACCCTTGAAAATCGGAGTGTTTTACCTTAAAAAGTGCTGTGTGCTGAGGGGCCTTTATACTACTTTCCTGCATTTTCTTTAGTTTTTCAAGTTTATTTTCATACAGCTTATTCAACTTTTGAAATCTTACATTTGCTTCCTGTAACTTTTTTTCTAAATTTTGAATTTTATCTAGTAAGACAATTTTTTTTTCCGAACTTATTGCATCTGAAACATTTTTTAAATCAAAATCATGAGTATCACCTACTTTTAAATCGCTTTGTTGATCAAAATCAATTCGAAATGGACTTGAAATTATATAATTTCTGTCAAATGATTGGATACACAGTGCAGGCGTTTCTAACGGCTTGCGTTCTGAATTAATGGAAGTGGTAGAGATTACCTGAAAACGAGTAATTCTTTTATAATTCAAGACCAAGGATGGAACTGCAATTGGTAACAATGTTTTGTTTTGTAATAGCTCGTTATTTCAAAGTGTTTTCCACAAATCACGGAATTTGGGGGTATATTGAAGATGGTACCAAATATTCACTTAAGCCATTCGTTTTTTCGATTTCTACTTTTTGAAAATTGATGTAAAATAACATCCTCTTTCTCCCCTTGCCCACAGTTTGGAACACAGCAAGTTCGGATACTTGGCATTTTAAAAAATATAATGTAATGATATTGATAATGCGCTTCTTAAGCTGAAAAAATGTGTAAGTTGTGTGACAGATCAATATTTTATTAAATGTGTCAACAATTATAACATTTAATTTCCTGTAAATTTTCAAATTTCACAAATTACAGTTTCCTTTAGAGCGTGACGCGCGCGTCATCTACCGGAATTTACCATTTTGACAAGTTCACGATTTTGGCCTATTGCCCAGACTTTATTACTGTCAATCAACGCAGACGACGCTTTAATAAAGTAATGTTATTATACATAAGTATTAAAATATTTTGTACATCATAAAAATATCTCTTTAGGACAATAAATTACATCACAGTATATTTTCCCATTAGCATTGTGTGGCAGTCATCACAAACTCGTACCGGTTTTGCTGACGACGGTAATGACATAGAATTATCGGAACAGGAATTACAAAAAATATCGCCACAATTCCTACAATGGTGCTACAAGAAAATTTTCACGAATTTGATCAGTTTTGTACGCACCTTTCTTCGCGTTAAATTAAATTCTTTACTGCAAGCTTTGCAATGTGTGGCTGTTTTGTCTTGCACCCACGCACCGTCGGTTCTGCTCCGACTTGCCTCTTCCTTCAAATCGGAAATTTGCAATTTCGATTTGCTCAACTGCGTTCCTAATTCTTCCAAAGTCTGTTCCTGTTCCAGGCACTTGTCTTTGAGATTATAATACTCTTCTTGAAGCGTTGCGTATTTCTAAAACAAACAAGTGAGTTTGAGTTTCAATTCTGGTCAAGACATTACTTGCGCTATAATTTTTAATTGGCTTATTTCGGTTTGAAGTTTGGAAATGCGCTCCCGGTCTTGCTGCATCGTCTCCTGGAGTGATATCCGCCACTCGCGTTCGACCTTAAGATCGCCTTCGACATTCGATGTTTGTTCTTCGTGTTGTGCCGCTTGGACGTCTAATTCTCGTTTTAAAAGTTCGGCAGTTGCACGATTTGCTTGGCTTTCCCTGAATCTAAAATAAAAATCTGTTTGTTGTTTACGAGAAATGAAAATAGTGTTAGAAATAAAGGCAAACCCGCTACGGAACTACCAAAAAAGAAAAAAATAAAGGATTGAAAGGGAATGAAAAATCACAAATTTGGTTAATTAGGTTTATTTTTACAAGCGAAACGTTTCATAGTATAAACGATGTTTGCGAAACAAGAATAACATAGAATTATAAGAATATAACACTTACAATTATTCTACGATAACATGTGGCTATCGATAAACAAGTTTTCTACTAGTAGCTGCTGTAGTGAAGGTTTGCCAACATTTCCAATACAAAGGTCTTACAATTATGAACATTAAACAACCCAGTTGTAAAATGTTTGATACAAGTATGAATTATGTCTAATACTGAAAGCAAAATCTACCCAAACAGTAAGCAAATGAATACCTACTTAAGTTCAAGTGTTTGCATTGTATCTGTCATTGACTGTGCCTTAGCTTCTAACTTGGTTACAAGTTCCGACTTATGTTTTAAAGATGCTTCGCATTCCTGAAATAAGTCAAACTTTTATCCCGATCTCAGTCTTCCAAATTTCTTTCAAAAAATCACAAAGAAAAACGAAACATCCGTAACCTTCCCGTTACAGATATTTCAACAAACAAAATTTTACATAGACAATAGCAAAAACGTGAAATGATTATGTAGAAGATTTGGCCTCCTCCTCGTCTTGTTTACCGTCAAACTCGAGATTAACAAACGAATCGATCGATTCGGAAGTCGCCGGTTGTTTATTTTCACTCTCCGATTCGCTTTTCTCGGCGTTCTTTGCGACTTTTTCGCGATTTTGTAATTTAGCCGCTTGTCTTTTCCTCTCGCCGGCTTTCTTATCGTCTTTTAACAAATGATTGTACTTTTCTAAATTATTGAGGATTTTGCCGATCTGACCCGCCTTCGCTTGAAGACGACTCACCACTTCTCCTTTCTGTGTCAATTCCATTTCGCATTCCTATAATCATCTCGTATTATTCTCAAATCAGTAAAACACCCACAATTAAAAAATCTGCGAAATAAACCCAAAACAACACAAAAACGAATCATTCCAAACGCGCTTTGTTTTCATACCTGCAACTTCTTGTACATTTCCAAATTGATGAGTTTGATGTCGTCGAGTTGGCGGCGGAGCGACACGATTGTGTCTTGCTTCTCGTGGATATCTTTCTCGAGGAGCTTCATTGCCACCTCCATCTCGGCCTTTAGGCACATCTGCAACACAAAATACCCCTTTTAGGCTTGCAAAAACTAGATTTTCTTCCAACCTGGAGCTCGAGTTCCTTGTCGGATTCTTGTCTCAATTTCCTCTCCTCGTCTAGTCGCTGTTTCAATTCCTCGACTTCGCCGGTCACAACCGCTTTTCTATTGTTTTCGGCCTCGACATTCGTGATTTGGACTCCACTGGAACTCATACAATAGCCACTAACGTCTTTCCCTAGTTCTTGTTTCAACTGCCGGTTTTCTTCATACAAAGCTAATAAACTATTTTTGGCAATAGCTAAATCTTCTTTCATTAGTGCATTCATTGTGGTCAATGACTCGACTTTGGATTGCAAATTCGTGACAGTTGCACTAAAAATTGATTTTTGCTTCCGATTTTCTGAAATTCTTTGACTTACTTGAGGTGTCGATTGAGTTCCTCGATATAATTTTTCTGATCTAGCACCGTTGTCATATTATCACCTTGCTCATCGTTACTTGAGTCGCTTGAGACGTGATTCGAGGATCTCAGATAAAGGGAAAAATCTATAACACCCTGTGGACAATCTAAATCTTCTTCTTTCACACATAAATTACAATCGATGACATTCAACCCGACCAAAAGCCCTATTATCACAATAGCTTCATCGCTCAACATCAAAGCATCCGGTTCGAAATACTCAACAAGTGCCTCGTCTTTATGATCAATTAGGACTTTCAGATAATCGGCGAGTTTTTTCTGCATGAGGGCGAGTCTTAGCCAGGCTCTAGCTCGTCCCATGTGTGTCCTAACAGTCGGTAAATCGCGGACACTTGCCGTGATATCCTGCGCTTCCGGAGCGTACTTCTCCACCATTTGTAAAATATCCCAAAGTTCTTTTTTCGGACCAAGGAGTCCCTAAAACCGCGACTTGATATTTGGTATTTGGCTCGAAATTCGTACCTTTTTAGGCCGCAAACCGTGCCTCAAAACGTGTTCTAGTACTATGAAAAAATGCTGGAGAGGCATGTGATCCGAGTCCAACATTCGTCCATATCTCAAACTCTGTTCTATCAGTTCTTTGACGACTAATTTGCTTATGTTGACCAAATTGCTGCGTTCTATGACCACGGGATCGCGACCTACGACGCAATTCATTGTTTAGATGGATTAAAACACGACAAATGTGACATTTCAAGTGATATTTATACCGAAAGGTTGGACGGGGACGTCCGGGGATGGCGTGGAAAGGGGTTGAGTGATGGAGTCTTGCATATTGAACTCGACGTCTTGGAGTTCTTTCAGACAGAGCCATTCGCCATCAACCGAGACGCGAAAATTGCAAAGGTAAATCGTGTCTTGCGCCCCCGCCATTTCTTGTTCCATGGCGTTATTGCCGCCCTCGATTATTTCTTGGACTTTCATGAGTATTTTATTGTTTAAAACATCGGTAAACGAAATTAAACACACGGATTTTTGGAATCGCGGAACATTGCTACTTTCTGGAAAGCGCACTTGGATTATTGATCGCAAGGGTGGTCTGTGAGGGTGGAAATGCGCCTGTGCTGCGAAATGCATAGGAAAGGTCGACGCAATAATCAGTGATAACAGTTTTGGCGATTTTTTTAAACAATGGGGGTGGTTAGGGTGCGCGTGAAAGACTCCTCAAATACGCTTAGATTTCCATTTTTTCCAATATTTAAAAGGGATTTTTTTTTCATAAATTTACAATGTGGTGCATACGTAACTACCGTTTCGTCTTATTCGACTTAAATAAGCTCGTTTTTGATAACACTGCATTAATAATGCGATAAAACTCGATAAACAATCTAATTGTGTTGGAATGTTGGTAAACATTGCTCGTTTTACCTCTGCTTTTGAGAATTTTTTTGGTGACTGGTCTGGAGACAAGCAGGCCGGTCCATTGGTATTCTTTTAGTGATGATACTGAAGGTGATCTCGATGCACTTTTTTCGTTATGTGTTGAATTATTCGGAGTTGTTGGCGAACCTTCACTACTAGCAGCAGCCATTTTTGTTACTTGTCAATATTTTGACGTGTTGTTGTCAAAGTCAGCTGTTTGCAGGAAACTGTAATTTTCTATTTTTGGTTTATTATTAATTATTTTTTGCGTTACACTTCGCCCTATAAACAGACTTGTTTTTATGTTTCATCAGCTAGTTGTAAAATGTTGGATCACCATTTCGGCGGGAAAATTTAAATTCGGGTTTGGAGGTTGAATAAAACACTTTTTTTATCAATTATTATAATTTCCATACAAATTATAAACATGATTTAAAATACTGTACACATACAGAGCAAAGTATAAGATTCAATAATTTCCATGTTTGATATGGCATTTCCAGATATGAATAAAAAAACTTCATTAAATATAGCACACTTTATAAAGAACCTTATAGTAAGACGATAAAAATATTTATAGCCGCCATATTTTTAGAAATATATACAATTTTACTTTTTACACTGACACTTTATTTTTAAAATAGATCTTTTATTAGAGTACAAATGATAATTTACAATAATTATTGTTCATATGTAATGTTTTTTCTTACCTAGGGTTTTTATGTTAAAGTTAAGTCTAGCAATTAAGTAACAATGATCAAAAAATCATAGCGCGAACGAAGTTTTATCTTCATGGAAGATAATCTTTTGTGCCAGTGCAATAAAAGTCTGTTACGTTTAATGAAAAAAAAAAAGATGTAAATAGAAATGAGTAAATGTAAAAATTAATCTTACATAATAACAAAATATAAGCTACCAAAATTGCCGACTTAAATCAAACAATTTGCGAAAGATTAAATCAGAGATCAAAAAACATTGCCACTTGTATCATAAAATTACATAATATCGTTTAAATTACCACGTTTTCTATGTAATTTTTCAGAATTGCACGATGCAAATGAAAGAAAGTTCACTCAGAAAGTATAACAATAGTTTTCTATTGTCTAATTGGCATCAAAATAGCCAAATTGAACACAAAGGCCGCGATGTTTTCACAACAACACTAAAATTAATTGTATTAATTTTAAGTCACGTCATCGACTGTGTTTTGTGAAGACACCTCATAAAGCTAAAATTATTAATTGGCAAAAAACTTTTATGATTATAATTAAAATACTGGGTATTTTAAATATTATAAAAATCTATATAAAATGTTAAAAATTATCATCACAAATAGCAAACTTTATAAATTCAAGGTATCTCAAGTATCCAAAGTAAGTAACTTAACTAAGTAAATTTTGTTGTCCTAGCAATAAATAAGTGTTTAGTAACATTTAAATGTTGACCGAAAATGAAGACTGTCAGTTGAAAACAATAGCTGCGATTTCGGATATGTGCAGATTTTTCCAAATCTGAGTAAAACATGATAAAATATCAAAACCTTACAACTAAAGTACGACGAGAAATAAACCTATAATATATAAAACAAAAAATATAACTTTTCCTACAGTACTTTATACCATAAAAGCAAAACTTTGAAACTTAAGTTTACGTAAGGGCAACTCAAATTTTTAAGGATAGCTTTACATGATATATCATCAAATGGCAATTTCGTTTTGTAATTTACCTAGCTACTTACTAAAGTATGTAACCAATAATAATACTAGTATTGTGAGGGTGTAGGCACTGAAGTGAAGGGATTTTTCTCGCCCTTGATTCCGCTAGTCTTTTACGAGCCTGTAGATGTGATGTTGGGCGCCGTGTTCTGACGTCGACACCTCGAACACGTACGCCGTACACAGTAAGGTCTCTTGCGTGTCTCGATTGCTCACCACCTTCCCAAAAAAATCAATTTCCGGTCGAAGAAAAAACACACTATGCTCACCTGTAGTATAGTGAAATTTTCTAAGACGCTGTTCATCATGTACTTTTCGGGTAGATGCTTGAGTTTGTGGATGAAATTAATCATGTATTCGCACATGGGACTTCGATGGATCCTGTAGACGAATCGGCCGTTTTCGTAACGAGCGTATTCCGTCTCGACTTTTTCCACGACTTGTTTCCCAAACGAACACACTTTTGTTGAACATGTGATGGTCATATTTTCGTTACTTTCATACGAACTCGTCACACCGTAAAAGGCACCAGCCTCGTCTTGAATATTGGAATTCAAATCAGCCCAGAATTTGACAAGGAAGAAGGCGTTCTGGGGTCCTTTGTCATACAATTCTTTTAAACCGCCTTTCTTTTCCGGGAATTTGTCGTAGATTTGTCGGACGTCCACGGCCTATACATAAAATTTTGCTTCAAATTGAGTCGCAAAGTTCGAATGAAATTACCTCAAGTAAAGGATCGGTGTATGATAAAGCCGGGCCGCCTATATGAACGAATAAGTGCCTCTGATACTGGAAAAAAATCATTAAAGCGGGAAAAAACGTCAGGGTGGGGACCTACTGCTTCGTCTCTGTTTTGCGATTCCATAAAGGCCGAATATTCAACAAGTCTAAGTTTATGAGTGGCTATGGCCCGTCCTTCCCAGACCGGCGGTGGGGCTGTTTGCAGAGGTCCAACGTCCCCTGCTGAGACTGCTGTCGCAGGCTTACCAGCAGGATACGACGATTGTGTGAACGGTTTAACACTAAAAACAAAAACAAAATTAGTTACGAGTGAAATTTTCCTAAATGGCAAAACTCACTCTTGACTGGTTCCTGGTTGTAATCCGGGCTGCCAGAACTGCTGTAATACAACGAAAATAAATCGATTTGCAAGCCGATTTAGAAGCGTAGCGCCGCAACACACAGCAAGTAAGCCCAAAATTGTTAAGGAAGGAAAATGTTAGAGACAAATAAAATATGCATCTATGCGTAAGCTTCGATGAAGAAGACGAGGAGGCGGACAAGGCGGGATTTTGCATCGTGGCGAAAGGACCAACTTACCGCTCCAGTATAGGAGACGGGGGGAGTTAGACCAAGACTCAGACCTGCTGACTTGCTGTGCATTGCAGTAGCTGATACTATCTGCGCACTTGACATGCTCGACATCGTTTGCAGAGCCTTCTCCTTGGCTGCATGGTCCTAGCAAACCACATACCATCACCAAATGTACCCAAATCTAAGTTATTTTGTTATTCGAGGGAAAAGAACCAGACCTGACCGAAAACTGGCACCTCTACTCTTACCAAACCAGCGAAAAAGCAAAATTTTAGATACAAAACTGGCCTTGCAGCGTCACAACTTTAATGTGTAGATGCTGCAAAGGCAGTTGAATAAGAGCATAATTCTACTTTTTCGCATATACAGGTTGGGAACATCCGTTTTTCGCTCCACCCTGTATATTGATCCCAGGCCAAGTGGCAAGATAAAGTTTGTTTACAATATGTGTTTGTAATAATTGCAGTCGCATGAAAAAAGCCCGTTCCATGCTCTAGTTAGTGCACATTTCACAAATGAATAGATAATATGTACAAGATTTTATTGTAAGTAATTATAACTGCCGCGATTGAATTATAATGGAAAGCAATCGCTATAGAAAAAATTCCTGTCACCTCGTAGCAAAAATAAAAAATTGAATCTAATCTGAGTAAATACTTACTACCTTCAGTTTGGCTTGAATTTCCCTCAGTTTTCGCCTTGCCAACACCTGTATGTGTGAACTGACTTGTTTTCTTGTACGTGTTTTTCCAGTCCTTAATTTGATATATCGTGCTATGAGTTCGTTTCGACCTTAAATAGAAGAAAATAATCAGTACAATATCTACACATACGATTTTATTAAAATGATAACTTCCTGCTAAGGACCGGTTTTACATCTTTGGGAATATAACGACGTGATTAGTTGCTCGTAGAAGAGTCAGCTTTGCTTGGGCAATTGCTATCACGAGTATTAATTATCACCAGGCTCTATTCGGAGATTTGTCCGTCGCAAGCAAACGTATTTATGTGCCATTAGTTCAACCAAAAACACTTCGCCCTCCTCTTTTCCGACTTTAAAGCAATTACACCAACGGTTACACAGATTTACTAACGGCATATATTTATTCCGGACGTGTTTGTTGATTGAATGCGGTCATTTGGGGGTTTAGGCATGCTGCATAACCTCAGGAATAGTTTTTTATAATAATTTAATTTCAAAATTGCGACAGTTTTGTAAAATTCTGAGTCTAGATCATCTCCGACCTTCAACTAGTTAGTTGTCTTTGATTTATTTAGTCTTTTTCAACTGCAATCGGGTCAGTTTTGCGGTTAGTCTTGGGAACCATTTTATGGTCGTGGTATTTTAATTAGCAACAAAATTAATTAAGTTTAGTTGCTATAATTTATCTATGGAAACCAAATTCACTCGCATATTTTATAGTTGATTTTTTTTAGATCACATTCTATATTTTGTTATTTGTTTTGCCTTTTGTGTAATTTTATAACCTGGTCTGCAGAAATTCCCGTCAAAAAGTTGTTTTTTCTCGCAAGTTTATGTGAACAGATTTGTGTGAATATGTCAAGTATTTCGTGATTAATTTTTGGGGGTGCTTAGTGGTGGTCGAATAAGTAAGTTTAGTATAATAATATTTACAGTTGTTGTTTTCTCTGATTCAGTTAGTTATCTGTTGGAGGTTGTCGATAGGTCGTTGCGGTGAAATAATCGCGTGCGAATACTTATCAAATATGTGCGTTCACCCTCGTTTATCTACCGTCACCCTCCTCCAACATTTCATCAACTTTATAGTCGTAATTAAACGTAGTTATATTCGCGATTGGATTAACTAAGGGCATCGACGTTTTAATTGAAAAGGCGTTATGTTTTGATTAATGATTGCAATCAGTGTCTGTTGGGGTAGATTATCGGTTTTCATATCAGTCCCTTCACACGTTCGCTATTAATATAAAACGGTCGATTAAGAGTTTGTCGAGAGAAAAATTCCTTTTCGTAAAATATTTATGAATTTCGTTCTCATGGCACGACATATAAAATTACAGAGTCGTTTAAGAAGTGGCTAGATTGGCAAGCTCTTCATTCGACGTCGGCGGCGGCGTCGCCGCCGCCGCCGCGAGAAGCCACCCTCTTCTTTATATTTTCTTCGTAGCACAGAGCCAACCCACCCTAAAGCGCGTTCGCTCACTAATTGCACATTCTTGACATAGTTTCTGGCCCGCACCCTCACCCCCTTCGGGCTCCGTCCTCGAGCATTTCACCGCCCCCAGTTTAACTCTGATCGTCGGGTTTCGCCGCTCGCACACGTTCATCCCCTCCGACCTGTCCCCGCCCCTCGTTCAAACCGCGCCAACGACATATAAATAAAGATGTGACAAGATAACAATAAAACCGCCGCAGCGGTTCACAATGTCCCTTCCAAATATATACGCGCTGCTAAACTCCACTAACTCATTTTGTTGATAATAACGATATTAACTTGGGGGGCATTGTTCGACGACCGACCCAAAGAACTCAGAAAGGCGCTATGGAGGGAACGAGAAATGAAATTTTCGACACGTCATAAAAAACCTACCAGGGATTCTATGATGTATTTTCGCGACGAAATAAATATCATGCTAAATTATTATAATACAGCGGGCTATTGCCAACTTTATCACAAAAATAACAACCAATAAACGCGGAAAATGGCAAAAATGCATACAGGGGGGTGTGGATAAAACTAATTTCGTTAAATGCTTAAAATTATCAGAAGAAACCTTCTAATAGTACTTAGGGTTATGGGATGCAGAATAACCCTGATTTTTATAACAATTTTTGCCTGAATTTCCTTGTGTTTGAAATGTTATATAGGTACAGAATGTCCCAGCGAGTTGGTAAAGTTCATTATTAACCTGTACAGGGTGCTGCATTTTGGATGTCCGAAAAGGGAATCTCCAAAACTAAGATGTTTAGCCAAAAACGAGTGATACATTCTGAGGCTCATTTTTTAAGAAAATAATATTGATTAAAACCGCATCTCGCTATCGTCTTTTGTTTTCGACTTACAGAGAAAAATTGACATTTTGGCGAAATCAAAAAAAAATCATATTTTCGTTATTGTAGAAGATACGGATTTGAAATAAAGACATTATAGAGTCACTTTTTTTACGAGGAATTTAATAATGTAGTTAACAATTTTTTTCAGTTATTTTTTTAGTCGTAGTAAGATAAACTTGTATAAACTTTCTGTTTTAAATTATTTTTAACTGTGTATTTTCCATGTGTAGATATTTCCAGTTGTAACCGTCTTCAAAAAATTCAAAATACGTCTTGTAGATTTGTATTTGGTCTTCGTAAATATGATAGGATTTCAAATAAAATAAATGAGCTTGGCTGGCTGAAAATGACCAATTTATTTAAATATCATATTTCTGTATGTACTCACAATGTTTTACTGTCGTCATCTTCAAATTACTTAAGAGAAAAACTTGTGTTCAGAAAAAGTGTTCATGTGGAACCCTTAAATTTACGTCATACCTCTACACTGTTGGCCTTACCAAGAACATATAATGCGGTCACTCTTTATAATAAGCTGCCAAAAGAAGTAAAGTCGTTTTCGGTGAGCAAATTTCGTGCTTTTGTAAAAAATTTCTACTCCGCTGTACAAAAAAATTATTAGTGGTAAAATTACCTTTATTATTTTTCGATAATTTACTCTCTCTTTCACTGTCATTACTTTTTCCTCTAGTATGTATTTTGATTTAGTTTTATGTGTACTTAGGTTAAGTTGAATAGTCCTATTGGCTAGACTTCGCCTGTACATATTACTTACGAAATAAAGACCTTTATTATTATTATTATTATTATTATTATTATTATTATTATTATTATTATTATTATTATTATTATTATAAACAAAATGCAGTACATGTTATTTTTTTAATTATACAGAAAATTGATAGATTCTAATCTAGTGCATCCCCTAAAATTCTTTTCAACTATAAAGCGTGTTCTAAAAATAAGTTACAACACAAACTTATGTTTGTAACACTCGTTACATGGCATTTTTTGTTTTTGTTACTCCAATGTTTTTAAGCTTATTTATTAATATCAATTTTGCTTAGTTTTTGAAATAAGTTTTTTTTGCAATACCTAGACTACAAAACTGTTATAGCCTTAAAGTTTGAAGGAATAATTTTTATCCGCAAACGTCAGAAAAATGACACTTTTATGATTAAATGACACACGTAAAAGTTTTACTTTTCAGACATGGAGTAAAAACACTGTTTTTACGCCTAGGCGTTTTCACTCCGTTAGGAAAAATGAACGTTCAGCTTCACCACATAATAAATCACTTTTACTCCTAATAACATAATCTACTATTTTTCTGCTGTTTTAAAGATTCAAGGTTCGGTTTACATAAAGTAAAGTAGGAATTATATTGAGAATTAAATTAATTAGGACAAAGATTTTATATTCTTTATTTTGCCAATTTAATTATCTGGACATTAAATTTTATTGTAATCTAGCTAGCTATTTTCTAGCTGTCTTAGATTTTGTGCTTTGAACTTTCAAAATGATCTATTGCGGTAACCCTTTTTAATTGTGTCAAAGCCTGGCATTGGCTGTCAAAATCTAACTGACATTTATCACGCTGTCCTTTAGTCTTGCCAACCCTGCAACAAAACTAGCGACCTGCTCCATTTTGCTTTTTCCAGTCTCACGGTATATTGCCGTTAAAAAATGTCCTATGGCCATTAAGGAGACGTTTAACTGTACCCATGTTTCATGTCGCGAAGAAAAACAAACGTAATACAGCTGTAATTATAACGAGTAACATTCGCTATCTTATCGAACAAATTACAATTGCAAAGTAGAGTCGACACCTGAGCAATGTAAAAAATTTACTTCTTTTCCAACGAATCCATTACTGAAATATTTCAAGGAAAATCCCAATCGTAACAAACACGCCACGTCGGTTGCTATAGCAAATTTAAAACAACACAAAAGTTTTAAAAATTTGTTGCGATATATGAAGCGAATCTTTGCTCATTTCCTGAAATTTCAGCACGTTTCACCTTGTCTCCACTAATTAATTCTTAATGTTTTCCGTAATTTTTATTAAGAAATCGACGAGATAAATTATCCTGGCCAATTATAATTGTAAAGTTTCATTTTTTCTTGTATGACTAACGTTACGTGTTGATTACTGACCTGTATAATAAATTACACAATTTGTATTGTGTACGCAATTAGTCACAAATGTCTAATTATCTAACTGTAGTAATTGTAACAGCAAATTGATTTTTCGAAAAAATTGGAAAATTGCATCATTTAAAAAGGACCACCTGTAAGATCCCCATATCAAGTGGCAATTTAGTTGACTCTCATTGCTTTCAATTCGATCAATGACAGTATAAAAAGTGATATGCGTCTTCAGGACAATTTCTCTCGTGCGCTCGATTCAATTTAACAATTGCGAGTGCATCCAAGGAGTATTCTGTGCAATTCTCCCGGAGTCGGACAAAGGACCTCCGGAACTCCGGAAGTTTCTGCATCTGCGATATATAGCAAAGCCAAACATCCAGCACACAATCGTAGATGCAAGGCGCAGGCTGTGAAGATATCGACCGTGGTGTTGTCCAGCAGTGTGTCCGGCTGACGTCCCGGAAAGTGTCTAGGGGAAGGGATGAGGGAGCTTGATTCCGGTGACAACTGGACACTTTCACGTTTCGGACCAGCTCACTCGGAATTGCTCCGGATCGTCGACGATTTCGCACGTCTTCTCACACGTCTCCTCCTTTCCGACTTTTGCGCTAATAACGGCGACGGCGCTACACTTGACGTGAGCGAAATCGCCAAACACAGTAATAATACGCTGAATTCACACATTACCCGGAGATTCTGCCACCGGTCAACCGAAAACCAATAACGGAGACATGTACGAGCTTTTCGACTATTTAAATACAAGAGGCGAATATTGAACGGCGAAAAACGAAAAAGACCAAAGCGAGAAACTTGGTTGAGGAAAGGGCGACTCGCAGGACGGTTTTTGCCTTTTTCGTTTGTGTCCCCAATTGATAAATAGAACAACGCTAGGCAGTAAGACCCAAATTTTTAGTACAGTCAGTCGATTTGAAAATGTCGTGTCTATAAAACGAACTGCTGGACTTGCTGTCGTCCTTTCGACCGCAATCATCCTCAAGAAACAATTTAGCATCGTAAAATTAAAGATTCTTTACCTAAGAGCATTGGTAACGAAATGTGAAGTTTCGTGTTCACTAAAATTTTAATATTTTATTATAATTGATTGGTAGTTACACATTGTTTTAAAGATAAAAGAATCCTTAAAATGTTATAACCGTCATTAGAAAACTGCACGAAAAAAATAAATTTAATAATTATTATAATTTAATTTTATTCGCGTTATTTTATTAAATGGCACTACAGATTAAAAAAAAAAATTACTAATTTTGTCGATGATTATTGAAAATGCTTGAGCTAACTGATCAATGTATTAAATAAATAATCAAAACTAATATTTTTATTTGCTTTTTAGTGAGCCAAAGTAAAAAAAAAAATGTAAAAATTTAGTCTCCTAATAGTTATACAGGGTGATTCTTAAATAGACCGACAAAATTTTATCACAGGTTTCCAAGAATAAATGGAGACAAACTGTATCCTTTTTACGTTTATATCTTTTAGGGGCAAAACCCCCTTGATCCGTGGCACTTCCGGCGTTTATGAATTGTTGCAATGATCAAGTACATTTTCATCAAATTAATACCATGGTTTCCACTACCAGTGCTAATACTATTTACAAACACATCAGTGGCGTACACTTTACCTCAAAAATAACTTTAATAATTTTGTTTGGAGGACAATTAAACAAAGAATTTTTTTAATATTTTTTCCAGCATGTACTCAATTGATATTACCAAGGATAAAATTTTGTCGGTCTATTTAAGAATCATTCTGTATTATATTGTATACAGGCTGTTCCGGCTAAACTCCACAGATGTATTAGGAGTTCGAACGAAGATATTTACCTAAAATTTTGTTTATAGCCGAAATGGCTTAGGTCCTGCTTAATGAAAATATTTTGAAAATGACGGCATTTCTGGTTATACCGGAAGCGGGTATCAACTTTGTTATTTTAAACAGAAAGGTATGTTTTTTATTACAATTTTGGATTACTCAAGTGATTTTGATAGAGTTTTCATCATTCTTCTCAATACCTAAGTTTCATCGTTTTCGAAGCATTGCATTTAGACTTTTTTTTTGAATTTTTTTGCATTTGCACCTTCCTATTCAAAAATCGATAACTCTGCCATTTTTTAAGAAAAAATTGGGGCATTTTATTTGGAAAAATTGAGTTAAGAATGTTTGAAGTTTCCCTAACGTAACCTTACCGAAATTTTGGCAGTTATGAATTCACCAAAGACAAGATCTCACTTTTTTCTTTTATAGACCGAAACACGATTTTAAAATATTTAAAAATGGTCATTATGATTTTTGGATAGGAAGATTCAAATTCAAAAAAAATCAATTTTATTTTTTCTAAACGTATTGGAATCTTGATAAAATGATCAGTCACCCACTCATCAAAGCAAATTCTTTGGATTTCCATAAATCGTACTTATAAAAGTTTGTTTAGCAAGAAAGTTAGTTCATCTCAAGCCAGTTATCTGCGATTACTTATTTGAACAATAAAAGTCTGTTGCCCGAATTATTAAAAATAAATCATTTTTGGAAGTCGTGAAAGAACAATTAATCCATTAAAGGATTAAAGCATAACGCACAATATTTACATGCATCCCTGCTTGCTGTCTTTGATAAGCGAAAACCTCTTTGACACATGATAAATGAGCAATTATTCATCAAACGAAAGGAAAGTTATAGCAACTGTTGGTCTTATTTAGTTTGCTGATTCATAGTTCCTTGCCCCTGATTTTTCAGTTTATTTACTTACAATAGTATAGTATTATTTTTAGTTGAATTGCGGATGTCCATTCTCTTAATTGTCATATACTAACTGTGTCATTACAATATAAAGTTCCTGTTTTTTCCCTCACTCGGTTAATTTCCCGTTAGTGTTATCGCCTCGCGGAATAGTCAATCTTTAACAATTCATTGTTTTGCTCTCATCACGAATTTCGACTTATCTCGACCGGATGTCGTCGCTTTATCTACAGCCGTGTGATTTGATCAAAATCGCACTTACCATACATTTTTCCTTCGTCTGATAATATAATTTTCCGTCGACCGCATGGAGGATATATAGCTAGCGCTTCCTGAAAACTCTGCTCGATATCCGGACTCCATACTCCTTCAGCGTCTGCCGCTGTCATATCCTTCTCATCCTGGAAAAAACAACGGAAATTCGAGAATTTGTAAAAATTGAAAAAGGGCAACTCACATCGCTGACGTCTCCGACATCTAGATTCTTTGTATCCGGACCCGCGCCGTTGGAGTCGGCGGGCGGGCCGGTGACGGGAGTCCACGGCGAGGAAATGGTGCCGGCTGAAACCACGTTGCCTGAAAAAATTAACACTACTTAACAAAAAAAATATTTTTTTAAAAAACCAATTAGACAGGTCTCATCAGAAATGGGCCAAATGGGTTGTTTCACTTGTTGTTGAATGAAAGGATCATTATTTGGCGAGGGTTTCCCTCGTTAGTAGTCGTGAAAACAAAGAGCGAACCCTCTACCCTTCTGTTTATTGTTTATTTTCGTGGAAATCGCCCGATATGTAAGGAATGCGCAGGTAATATTAACCGTTAACAATGTTATTGCTAAACTATGACTACGTGCCACCTGATATTAAGTTATTACAAGTTGGAGGAATTTAATTTTGTACTTAAAACAGTTGCCTAATGGCATGCCAGGGGATGAATTTATCCCAAGTTTGATTCCTTCCGGTGTTTAAAAACTGCTCTATATACCTATATATGGCTTGCGCGTTATAGAGCGGCATTCCAGCGACGTCATTATACGGAAAATTTACAACTAGAGGGTGGAAATAGTCCGGTTGCGTCCAAACAACGCGACACCAGCTCGTTAACAAATAATTTTCACCTTCATCCAAGTTCTTATATTAAAACAGTCGATTGATGATGCTGGAAGAATTTGTTTCGTAGATAAAGTTCTTGGTGAAGTCGCCGGGGGCGGAAAAATTTAAGGAGGGAATGTAATTTTATGTTACCTCAGCGTTACAAACTCCAGCTTTAGAATGCTTTGTTGATGTTCAAGTTTGTTGAAATGGAAAACTAAGTGGCTGCACTTTATGTTGTGATACAATTGCCGATTATTCGCATTAAGAGGGATTATTTTTCATTATTTTATCATTATAGGGACACTCGACATATAAATGAACTTTCCATGTCTCATTGATTCAAAAATGTAATAAAAAAAGGTCGTAAAATTCAGGCAGGAATATTTATGACTTGCGTGAGGACCCACCTTCGCCAATTTTTTCCAGAACGTTGCCGTGTCATTCCATTACTTAAGTAATCCTTATTTATTTCTTCTCATTCAGTCAAAAAGGTTAACAGTCGATTTATTACGCAATTTCCTTCATACGAGGTATTCTAACTTTTTAAGACGAGTTTTCGCAAAATACGAACGATATAATGAAAGAGTGATTACGAACCGTGACGCCATCTCGCGACAATATCAAAGCGGTTCCTCGCCTTAAAATTCACGAGTAAATGCGATTTTTTCACAAGTTGCTACTGCTTTCTCGATTTCTAAGTAGCAACTTTACACACATTTTATAGTTTTTAACAAAATTTTAACAAAGTGTGGTAAATTCTTGTGTTTCCAGTCACTTTTTGAAAAAATAAACACAAATTCATCAGAATAATAATAATGTCCACATTATTATTATTCTGATGAATTCGCCACATAATAAGGTTTTATTTATCAAAAATCAATGTGATATTTGCGAGTGTGGGTTGTATTTATTGCATCGACTATTTATTTAATAAACGGATTATTGGCAATTTACATTATTTGCACGTATTAATGATTAATGTTATTTAGAGCTTGTTTAATTTGCTATAATAATGTCGAACGAACATATTGTGAAAGTAATTAAAGTTGTATGGTTGGATACGAACGTTGTGTATCTTTTGACATTACATTATGATATAAATAGCACTTAAAATAGATAGGACTTGGTTAAAATCCATGAGTCATAAAGCTTCACAGGTACGACAAAAGCACACGAAGTTGAATAAATATCAGGCTTGCTCATTCCCTTAACTAATCTTACATATTGTTTGAAATTACTTTTTACTGAAACAAGCATAAATTATGGTAATTTGTCTAGTGTAATCGCGATAAAAAAAGGAAAGCGAAAATTGTGTTGTATGTACTAGTTTTCAAAGATGTAACGATTGTGTATTTCTTTTTATGGTAAGTGAACATTGCTTGTCCACTTACTGCGAAATTCAATTTGTAACAATTTGCTGCTACATCATTAACATCAATACAAGTTTAAGTTATTTAAGCGTTTTAATTATAAATCTCCGACTGTGCTCTCTTGATTGTTGAAAATCTCCCGCGACGAGGCGCCACTGGTGTCGATATCTTGTAGAGCGACAAGCAGCAGCTAGAGCAAAACAAGAAAGGGTTCGGAACAAGTTTTTGTATGAGTCACACAGGCTGCGCCGGTATTAATTGCGCTGTCGGTTTAGAGGTTAAATGGCAACGCCGCCGCCGCACAGAGATGACCATCAAACACTATTCAAGCGAGATGTGTGTTACGTTGAATCAATTTACAAGCGGCAACCGGTTTTCGGAAAATCACAAGAAGTGGGAAATAACTGTACGACCGCTTACTAAACAAGTGTATTATGATCTACTGGTTTGCTGTAACATGAATCGCGTTACATGGGCGGGAAACAAACGATACATCCAATGCCGCCTAATTTCGCACGCCCGACAAAGAATTGGTAGGGACGTTCAGTTGGCACGCGTGCGGTTTTATTGCTCTTTTGTCTTGATGGGTTACAAGTGGCGACATTTCGATATTGCAGACGTTGCCAAATTGATTGGAAATTTCCTATAATTGTTTTTGGATGATTACGTTTCAATTACGTTAACAATGATACGACTTATCGCACTTAATTAAACTATGAGTAATAAGTAACATTTGACATTTTTCGGTTCGTTATATTCCGACTTGGCCAACCCTTATCGGCGCCACTGTTTTTCCGCACGGTACCGAGAACAGTGACTCGGTTCATCAAAGACCTACGTCACGTCATTTATCTTCGAGTTCTTTGTTGGTTTGAGATTTGTTGAAGAGATGAGTTGCAGGTAACAACCCAACGAGGCGATAATTCTACGTGGGACGAAAACGAGAATGGAGAAATTCATTCATAAACAGGCAAGAAACTGTGCCAATTTGGTTGTTTATTTACCATTTGAACGGAACTTATTGTGGCCAAAGCCCTCAGAAATCATGTTTTATGCCACCACAACTGCATAATTCATACTAAACTGAACGCCAAAGTACCGAATGATGCTCAAATTGGGACTTTAAACATAAAAAAGGTGTACTTAAAAAACATGTATCCCGTTTCAAACCTATACAAAAATGGCAACGTTTGAAAGTGTATTTTTTGGGTCAAATAGGTTTCAAAATTGCGCCAACATCGAAGTAAAAATGAAACAATGCGCTTAAAATTCTGATTAGCCTTTTCTACTTCCACGCTAACGTGAAATGAATTTACTTGTTCACTTCCAAGCTTTGTTTATCGTACAGTGGGCGTGCAAAAAATTCTACAACTTACAAAAAAATCTACAGTATGTCCCCGGATTGAGATTAATCAAGAGGAAAAAAAATTGTTATCTTTGATTTTACGCCAAAACTGCAAAGGAAAAACATTTTTTGCTTCACCTGAAACAAGAAAATCCGTAATTAAAACTTGATTATTCTGACTCAGTAGAAAGAAAAGTTTATTTTTGTTTTGATTTTGGAATAATTTTTCTCTGCTTATTAAGTCCATTGTCGGTTTTATTTTTTTGATAACGGTGTCACTTTGAAAAATGAGTTAAATAACAAAAATGTTTCTGAAAAACAAAATTTTAATGACTAGCATCTCAAAAAAACAGCTTTAAGAAATAAAAACAAAGTCATTTTTAACAAGAACTACAGATTTTTCAACAAAAAATTACCACCTAGGATTTGAACTTTTAGGAAAATTACGTTTTTCATGTAGTCTGTAACTACAATTTTCAGAAGTAGTTTTGTGCCTAAGGTTGGTTAACCCTTGTTGTTGTCGGTTGACGTTTTCTGTCAACCTGCTGTCGACTATCAATTAAATTATCCATTCAAACTGACAGGTGACTTAACCTAAATTTTGACACTAGTTACGATATCTTTTGTTTGTTACGAGAAACCAACCTAACCAAATCTATGGCAACCTATTCACAAATATTCCTATTCCTAGGGAGTAATTTCTTGTTGATACGACAATATCATTATTCAATTAATGAATTGATTGTCAAAGTGACATTTAGCTGTCAATTAAATAAAACCGACAATGTCGAAGATCAAGAAAAAAATAAACTTTTCCGTTCACTAAATCAGAATAATGCAGATTTAATTACAGATTTGCTCATTTCAGGTGAAGCAAAAAATGTTTTTCCTTTGCAGTTTTGACGTAAAATCAAAGATAAAATTTTTTTCCTCTTGCAAACACATACTGTAGAATGTATTTTTACCTTAATCACAATAAGACCGAAATTAAATATTGCATTGACTATATTTTTAAAAAGAATAAAATAACTAGAGCTTATTCCATATCTGGTGGCGAACTGACAGTGACAGAAAAGACACTTGGAGTGTGCCCACTTGGTTAAGATAAAAAAATACATGGGCGTACTTTTTTCTCTAAAAATTTTGAAGACAAGGATTGTTKGGAATATCATTTT